ACACAAAAAAAGAACAACATCAAAACTCAACAACGACAAGATCATCCAAAATACAGGGTCACAAAATTTTTGAAACTTACCTACATGGGTTATAAAATTGTGCAAACGACTTGTTTATTTTTGTAAATATTTAAAATAATTTTTTAAATTTTTTAAAAATTCAAATTAGACATGTAAAAAAATTTTTTCAGGGGTGTGGCTGCCGCCCCGCCCCCTTTTTCTAGAATTAGGGGCTATGGATTGCAAAAATTTTGAGATGCACCCCAAAAATTTTTTCGGAGCGTGTGGCTGACGCCACGCACCTTTACTAAAAAAATAATTTTTGCCGCCCCCCCCCCCCGCCCCGCGGACCGAAATACTGGGACCGCCACTGTCACAAACATATTTTCAAACATCACCAGATTTTCCAAAGTCGCTTTTTTTACAATAATTTGCTCCATGCATGCATCTTCCATTCTGGTAGAAAGATCATAAAAGATCAACATATTTGCAGACCTGGCCGATGGAATGTCTGCACATCAAATTGCTCCGCTCAAACTTTGCTGTTTCTGCAGCTGCTTGGCGTTAGCAGACAAGCAAAGCTCATATGTCGGTCTTCGCTCTCAATCTTTGTTTGGCTGCAAACTAAGTGGTCTAGAATTGGTTTCAAAATTGGTTTCTATCAGAGCATACAGTTTGAACACAAGTGATAGTTTGCGTAATACTTCTACTACTTCAAAGATTCGTTCTAAAAAAACAATTGCGTCTATTTCACATTGCTGAACCCCTGCCTATGAGATCAAATAAAAATGAGAAGTCGTGACTACACATATTATATATCAGCTTACTAGCGACCCTACGAGTCGCTAGCAAGTGGGTCGGGGAAGATACAATATAAGGGCTTAGTTGTGACTATAAATACTTCTTAAGTTTCCTATTCCTTTCCTGAAAACAATTTTGCGAAAAGAATTCTACAAAAGCAGAACTGCTCGAAGAAGCGGTAATCTCCACAAAAGCATTTCTCGAGATTCCTGCTACAACTATGCATGGAGAATATTATTTTCCTCTCGTTTACCACGCTCTACAAATTCCCCCTCCTCACAGAGACATTCGATAAAGAAAACCCCCCACTTCTACCCTATCAAAGAGAATTTGCTCTTCCAGTTCTTCTCAACAAGTTCTATAGAAGATCGTTGAGTAAGTAGCAGAACACCTATAGTTTTGGAAGTAGAAGTACACCCATAACAACTATGTGTACTACAAAAAACACTTTTCTCTCAGAATCAATTCCGACAGCAGCGAAAACAATCGTGTAAGAACTTTTTTCAGAGAATCTTTCAATTTTTTCGCCAAAGGAGTATGAAGTTTTACTACAAAAGGAGATCCCTCCCCGAAAAGCAGACTACTGAGCCACCTAAAGGCCGTCAATCAACATATAAAAAATTTGTTTCCCAGTCCGATCAAATTTCCCTACGTGCCGCTTACAAACTAATGTTATCCATCTGAAAGACAGTTCATGCCCTACGTGCCGCTTGAAGACCGTTTAAAAATTATAAGAACTGCCCTAAACGCACAAAAATTTGTTTCTCTGCCCGATCGGATTGCCCTACGTGCCGCTTACACACCTAGTTGAAAGCACCAACGGGACCCAGTTACACAAGCAAAGCAAGGTTGTTGTTAGATAAACGCTTTCAAAAGTACCAGCGAGGCCAAGTTACTCACGCACTCTCTTGTCTATAGGCGGAAGCAAAATAATCCTAAAGTGACTGTTTTAGTTAGAACATTCTTACCAAGAGTTGAGAACATAGATGAATTTAGCTCAAGTCGCTGTTACGCAATTTGGCATCATTTCGAAAGCAACTAATAGGAGTACAACATATTTGAAAGACACATTCTGGGATAACAAGCTCGAAAAAAAAGAGGTACGAATAACACACACGGACACTGGCGACATATTCTCAAAATCATTGCGACACTCATGATTGCTTTTCGAAATACGTGTGACCCTTTTACGAAAATTTGCTTGGTCACTCGTTATGAAATTTGGCAGCGTTCCAAAACGCATGCCACTTGGCAGCAATCCAAATCCAAAGATCAGTGTATTTCATCATAATTTCTCCGTCTGCGGCCTCCTCGTTTGCCATGTTCCACGGACCGGGGGTGTTGATAGGTAAACAACGATTCCAAAATATATTACGTAGTGACTAGTCTGCTTCAAGTTTTTGAAATTGACTATCCTAAAATAATTTTGAGAAATTATTTGCCCACATACATATAGATACAGTCAGTTTCATCCCGGAGTAGGCGGAACGCACACTTGGGTTCTCAGCACGATATGGTGTACTGTAGCTGCGAAACGGTTCGAACCGTTGCGAGGCGGACTCCCGCCAGTCCAATTTTCGCGTAAAGCGGGTCGAAACTTGCTGTACAGGCCTGTACAACAAAGGTGCAATATGTGTGAACGTGAACGCGGCTTTATTAGCCGAAGAGCGCATGGGGCGCAGGACTTATAATAGTGAAGATACGCGCGCATCACGTTCGCGCCCGCTCAACTTGTAGCTTTTGCGCCTTCGTCATGCGTAGCCTTTATGTATGTGGAAATGTCATTTCAAAAAATATTGATGCCTTCATTCAGATGATTTTGCAACTGAATGCTCGGTCCTAATTTCATTTCTAGCCGAGCTCGCCTCCGACGTTCGCATCGAGCACGAAACATCTCCAGCATACCTAAGTAGATCGCACACTCGCCTAATCAACGATCGCAGTAAGGCGTTCCTTGGTCTTGAGCTTCTGCCCCATGCATGACGAGAACGTTTGGTTGATTTGTCAGCTATTTCGAACGACAGATCGGACAACGAAAGCCTTTAGTCTATGCATGCACAAGAAAGAGGGTGATGGCTTCACTTTGAATACAAATTCGAAATATTAGGTTGTTACATAAGTCTTGTTACACTTTGATTTCTTACGACGATAAGTCGTGAACTTCACAATTTTAATAGGGCTCCAGGGTACCATTCGATAGAGCAAAGCAAGCTCTACAAGATAGTCTGCCAAAGTCCGCACCAACTTCGACCCACTGTAACTTTGCATCCAAAATCTGAGTCGCACTGAAGGGACAAAATATCACGAAAAATCATATTTTTGTTTAGAAAAGTCCTACGAATCTCTTGCTCACAAAAATTGCCCAGTATATCAAACAATCATGTGTACCTTTGCTGTATTTTTTCCTCGTCTAGAAATCGAGAAATGGAAAATTATTTAGTTTCCACAAAAACGAAGCTATGTTGTTTCTGTTTATGTAGCTGTATACTACAAGCTCTCAGAAGTATAACCGTAAATTTTCAGCTTTCCAGAAGCTTTAGTTTTCGAAAAATATCAAATTTAGTTTTTCTCACTCGAGTGCTCAATGCTAAATTAGGTAATTCTCGAAAACTAGGGCTTCTGAAGAGCTGAAAATTTGCGGTTATACTTCTAAGGGCTTGTAGGATACAGTCATATGCATAGAAACAGCATAGCTTCGTTTCTGTAAAAACCGAAAATTTTTCGTCTTCTCGATTTCTAGATGAGGAAAAATTGCAGCAAAGGTACATATGAGTGTTTGATATAGTGGGATTTTTGTGAGCAAGTTGGAGATTCGTAGGAATCTTCTGAACAAAGATATGAATTTTTCGCAATTTTTGAGTCTTCACTACGACTCAGATTTTGGATGCAAAGTTACAGTGGATCAAAGTTGGTGCGAACATTTGCATACCATCTTGTAGAGCTTGCTCTGCTCTATCGAATGATACTTTGGAGCCCTGTATAAAGAATATGAAATGCAGACTTGTTGCCGTTAGAAGTCAAGTGTAACAAGACTTATGTAACAACCTAATAGAAACGCAGAATAATAAAATGATTTTCAAAGAAAAAGGACGACTCATCACGTTAAGAATAATACAGGGTGTCCCAAAAAAATGCACCTATTGTTTGATTATTGATAACTTTCTTGTCATGAAGTTGAAAAGCTTTAGGTCCCGTTATGTAGAGCTCGCTTTAACTTGGATTTATAGTAGGGGAAGAATTACCGTTCTCTCTTCATTACTGTAGGGTTACGGTAGGGACTTCGCGGAGGGTTTTGCGTCAATAAGGGTCATATTTGACAAAAGAAGCTAAAAACTCCTACACTAGGTTAATCAAAGTCGCTCATTCCAAATTTGTAACTACGGCTTTACCGTAACGATTTCTTGTAAGTAAGTTACGACAGATATACCGTTACAACCCAATTCTAATTCTCGTCAAAAGTTTAGTTACGCCATTTAAAAACTCTGCGAACGCGCAAAAAGTTGTTTAGTAAAATCAGCATGCAGGAAAGCCGTATTACATAATCTTTTAGTTTTTTTTAAACTGCCTCTTTTACAGTGGCGCCATATGCTGCGAGTTCCTACCGCAAACCTACGGTAATGGAGAAATTTCGGTAATTCGCTCAGCTGTAAATTTAAGTTGAAGCCTGCTCTACAAAACGATACTTAAACTTCCCGAAAGATTTCATTAGAAGAGAGGTTTCTTTATAAGTTATTAACAATCAAACAGGAGGCACATTTTTTGGGACTGTATTTGCCAAACAATTCCACAAATCTTTTTATCCTTGTGGAACGGTGATTTCTAATTGTATGAAGAGAAACAAATGTCAAAAGAAAAAAGAAAAAAGCCGAGTTTTTCAAAAGGACGGAAAACTGCATGTTATGAGGCGGTTTATAACTTGAAGCAAATTGGCAGCAGTTATAGGGCTTATCAAACGCAGTGTCGCTTGCACCAGCATCTCTACTGCCGCGCTGTCTGCGAATCTTCCGCGAACATGCTCTCTAACCAATCGATTGAGACTCCGCCTTTCCCACGCTCGCCCTGGAAAAGTGATCAGAGAACATGTTCACGGAAGAGATGCAGAGTCCAGCGCGGGAGTGGAGATGCTGATACAAGCGACACTGCGTTTGATAAGCTCTGTACGTGGATTTGGTAAAATTACACAGAATCGCTTCACCAGAAAAAAAGTTCACTTAAGTACGATACTACCCAGTTAGGGAATATTTATTAAACCATTTTAAGATAAATGTTAAAAAGCGATTCATGTGATATGACACCACAGCTAGACTAGCACAATAATCACAAAAACCAACAAAATTCAAGAAAAGAAACGAAAGCGAGAATATATTTCTACCGCTGACTTTGAATATCATCAACGATTGGGCGCAGCCCCAACTTTTACCTATTATGGTCTCATTTTTATTAGATCTGCTTGAACTTCTTACGAGATCATGCTCATGTATGCTTCGATCCCAGGAATCTCTGTAAAGGCATGCATTAGTCTAGATCTGTGGAACTTTAGAAAATGCAAACCTGGAAAAGCTTGGTGGAATAGATGCTGCAGTTCCTCCAAATCCTCTTTAGTTCTAAAAATAGCTTCCATTTAAAGGCAAAAACATTATAGTACCGTCTTCAACTCGTAATTTATTGGTCAGATTTTTCAGCTAAGAAAATAAGGCTTGCCCACATGGAAGCACTATGCACAACTAGGTACGATGGGTGTACGGTAAGCGGGTCACCAAAAATGCTGACAGCTATGTTTAGTCGGGCAATATGATACGGATGATCATATTAGCTTTGCACCACTATATGAATCTTGGAGCTCGAAGTGGAAGATTGTAGTCGTAACTGCATTCATGCCTATCATCCAGTTCGGCAAAACCAAAATCGCGTTTCCGATAACTACTTATCTGTGGTGACTCTAAGAAAAATGAGCTATCAGTGAAAAAATTTGACCGCATGTCAACCGAGCCTCTGTTTGGAATCGGCAGAACTTCTGAGGACGTCTATGGAAAGCTGGAAAGCACCTTTCTTTAGATGGAGGCAAACTTACTCAGTAGCAAGTGGTCCTGGGTAAAACTCGTTAGGATGGCAGCTGGTATGGTGATTGTAAACCTGAATGTGAAAGAAGTGACCATAAAGTGAAAAAGCAAACGAATAATTTTGAATCACACAGCAAGATATGAAGTCTGTTGAATGGGGTTACAATTTTTTCAGATTTATTTAAACCATCTCCTCGTCCTGATCTTGTACATCAACTGATATAGCTCACCGAAGCGTTAGTATTCCCAGCATAATCACAAATTTTGCAACGTCTCGTTTTTCTAGGGAAATGAGATCGCACGTGATCCAGGCCTTGCCTGCGGCAGCTTTGTTTGAAATGAAGAATTTTGCCGCAACCCTAAAAAACGCCTAATCCACAGATTTAGGGGGAGAAAAAGAGCCGCCCACAGACCGAGATACGGCATTGAAATTCGCGATCGGCCTTTGCTTTCATCCTAGTGAGTTTCTGAAAAAAAAAACCGGTAACTCAAGGAGTACCAAAGCTGGATAAGTAAAACTAACAATTTTCTTGTTTTTCATCGCTTCCGGTGTATCCTGAGGAGAATACCATAAACGAGCGGCGCGTCGACGCGGTGCACGAAGCAGAGGCATGGTGGCACTGTCCTAGAAAGGTAGCTGATCCCAATTTAAGAAAGAAGAAGCTTACCTTTGCGTCTTCTGGCTTCACTGGCGTTGCTTCACTCTCTGTGCGTGACTGACTAATTTCCCCTTCTTCAGCTGACCATGGTTGCAAAGCAATACTTGATGATGGGGCATCTGAGAGACAAATTAACATCAAAAAATACAGACTATAGCGGTCAAACAGACCTGGATCACCCTTAACTTCAAGAAATAGATCGGAATCGACAAACGAATCAGGAGTAAGTTCACATATGGGAGCTGAGCTTTGGACTTCAGCTTGCTCTTCAGGCTTGCGACTTTGCTTTTCCACCTGAAAAAATTCGCTACACAAGACAAGTTAGAACAGACCTACTATAAATGTAGGGACCATCCTAAACTGCCAAGAAGTCTTGAAAGTTCTTATTTGAGCATTCAGATTAGCAATAGTTTTCCCATCCTTATGCAGTTATTTAGTTTCATCGTCGTCCTCACACTCCACATTTGACAGAAAAGATAGCGGATTTTTCAGCCCTTTTTCTATGTGAGGTTCGCAAATTGATAAATATTCGGGGAGTGTATACCTTGAGATAAAAATCTCATGATTTCGCTTTTGGCAGACTTATCTGCAGGCGGTCCTATCTACAGAATTTTTGGGTACTTCTTTTACACAAAAATTTCAAGCAAAACTCACATCGTTCCCCGATACTGAGCAAGTGCTCGAAGAATTCTTCGCAGATACTACTTCTCCTACTTCTCCTGCCAGCTCCGGCACATCCATTACGATACACCGGCATCCCAGACTTGACTAAAATGAGCACTGTCAGGAGATAAACAGAACAAGAACAGAAAACCAATTGTGATAAACTGCAAACTAACAAGAAGACGCTCCAAGTCCACACCCCTTCCGCGAAGTGCTTCTACAGTGGTGCCATAGATGTTCACCTGTACATGGGATCGATTTTGCGTCGAATAATCAGGCAAGGACATCTTCATTACTTTTTATTGATCCATTGTAGATCACTAAATCTGTGATTAATTACATTAGATTCCGAGTCCATAACGTGATCACACTGATCCAGCCATGTGGTCGCAAGAAATTCTTTCTGGAGGGATAGGGACAACAGATACTTTTTTATTCTGAGAAGAAGAAACGCAACGTTAGCCGCGACCTCTGGAGGATTTTTTTGGTAATTTTTTAATTTTTGGTAAGTTCCCTTTTCCTGACTCTCTTAACCCACAGCCTCCGCAATCCTCGCTTTGAAGTGCTAATCGTCGCTTCCCATCATACTATAACAATGAAAAAATGGAGTATCCAAAATCTTGTAGACAATATCGTATTTTTTTTACTTCAAAATTTTGTAGTCAACGAAGTCTGCAAGGAGAAAAGGTTTCCGTACATAAGTTGAAATCCCAGTTCGAAACGGAGAGCATCACCCTTCTCAGAACTCAGGATGCTTCTGGAATCAGCGCGCTTCAAAAACGTCTGCTTGTCTATGGTTCAAATTCTCATTAGCTTCTACCAATGGGATAAATTAAGCTTTTTTCATAGGTTTATTGCAGTGGCAATCCAGAATCTCCGTTCGGGGACAGGCGAGGCGCGATGAAAATTTTCGGATGGAGGTGCGTGGGTGAGCCGCGCACTCCGAAAAAATTTTTTGGGTGCTCTCCAGAGTCCTTTCGGGCTTATGAAGCCGGATTCAGAAGGGGACGTGGCGGCAGCCAGGCCCCGAGAATAATTTTTTACAAAGCTAAATTGGATTTCTAAATAAATTTCAAATCCACTTTGTATATATAGAAGTAAGAGTTTGCATATTTTTACTCATAATAGTAACTTTTGAAAATGTCAGCCAAGGTCCAATTTTGTCCTAGATTTAGCATGATTTCGAGCCTCAAAACACAGCTTCAATAGTCGTACGGTGATCCAACCACAAAGTATGTACAAGTTCGTAAGATTTTGTGTTTGGCCAAAAAACTGCAACGCTGAGCGTTTGTTTTGGCTACGCACACGTCATCTTACAAAAAATGGCTCTGTTTATTATTACAATCACACTTATCCTGTCCTTTTAGCTCCAAAGCCCCGAAAAGTGCAAAAAATCCAAACACGTCAGCACGGTTACTTCAACGTACAAGCAATGCACTTGTCTCATGAGAGGCATGCACTGATCTTGGGATTTGGAGCTAAAACAGGAAAGTATAGTTGTCATAATAAACACAGCCATTTTTGTAAAATACGTGGCCAAAACAAACACTCGGTGCTGCAGAACTTTCCTGACCAAACAAAAAATTTTACGAACTTGTACATACTTTCTTTCTGCTTAGCTTATCGTGGAACAGCAGAAGCTGAGTTCTAAGGCGCGAAATCGTGCTAATTCTAAGTAAAATTGAAACCTTGTTAAACAATGTGCCAAGAACGCAGGAATTTTTCGAACAAACAAGATATCTGTCGAAGAAGCCAAATCTCACAGAATGATCATAAACCAATCAGACTGCTTGAACCACAGAAAAACAGAATTTTTAGTGTGTAACCCCGAAAGCATATTGAGCCTGAAAAGAGCAACGCTTCCCTTTTCAAACTTTCAGTGCATAGCAGATATCTTGGGATTCGTTATAGTGAATTTGCAAAAAATTTTGCCTCGAAAGACTGCAGTTTTGATTGAAAAAAAAAGGAAAATAGTTCGTTTTAACGTGTTCGTATAGTTATGAACCGCTAAAAATGTGCGCAAAAACATTTCTAATTGACACCGGTTTTCATTCTTCCGCGTATACCGTTTTCGGCTATGGGCTATTTTTTCGGCGTTTTCAGCTTAACCATCATTATTCATTACTAAAGCACACTCTCTTACCCAATCATGAAGAAAGATATAATCTGAGAGCCAGATCTCATCTAGAATTATTGCAACTTGGTGTCACAAACAGTTTATATACAAAGTAGATGCTAACAAAAATATGATGCGCAATGTTTCTCAAGTTGTTACACACCACTATATGGTAAAATGAAAGAGAACAGTGATACAAATGAGCACGCTTCAACACTAGAATCAGGTTACCGGCACAAATATTCAATTTATCAACAGCAATAATGAGGTTATTATTAAGCGAACATGGCCTATATTATGAACAATCCACGTACGACATACAATACAGGTAAAACATCATAGAGCGCAGAACAACTAGCAAGCTATCTGTATCTTTTTATTAATTAGAACGGGAACGAAATAGGGTAAAGCAAACTAGAGCAAACTAGAACATAATGAGATGACTAATGAGAGATCAAATAACTAGAATTATATGAAGAAAGTCCGGGACCGTGACCAGAAATTCAGAACAGAATATTGAAAAAAAAAACTACTTCTAAAAGCTAACTTCACTTGCTTATCACGTCGCATCCTCTCGCTGTACTCAGAAAGCGATAATCTCGCGCCTTTTCTCCGCGTTCAACCGTCTTCTCTCGTACGGCTGCCTGCTCTTTTCTCCATTTCGTACACATGCTGCGTAGATCCATCTGTGAGATGAACGCTGGGGCGTCAAATTTCTAAACAAAAGCCAAATGCTGCACTACTGTGGCTGGATACCTCGACTTACCGTGATGAGATACATCCTCCAGAGAGCCCATCTCAGTGGCTCTATCTTACTACGCTTCTCTAACACTCTCATCTCTTGATTTATAACGTCAACGACCAATACTGCAGCCATGTCCGCCCAGGCTGGAGCCCTCCCAACCAGGTCCAGTTCCCAAGATTTATCCTGAAATTTGGCCAAATCAGAATTCACATGAAACGAGCTCGAGGGATTTATCACTTAACTAGATGGCAAACCCGGCTCCGCCCGGGACCAAACTTTGCACACATACACTTCGGGGCAGGGAGCGTGTCATAGTCCACTTTTCGTTATCGATCGATGTCGATTTCACCGATTTTTTGCCCCCACGGGGGTGATCAGCATGTTCGATTACCCCCCTGTGCCAACTCCCAGCCCCGTAGCTCAAATTTTGCAAAGAATCGATAAAATCGATATCGATCGATAACGAAAAGTAGCCTATGACACGCTCCCTGCCCCGAAGTATATGTGTGCCAAGTTTGGTCCCGATCGGTTCAGAAATAAAAATTTCTATTCCGCACATACGTACAGACATACATACAGACAGACATACATACATACAGACAGACATTCAGCTTTATATATAAGATGAAGTACGGTAAATAATTTGCAAGGAATCGATGAAAGTCGTAGATGTCGTTTAAAAGTTTAACTTTTACTTTTTTTGAAGATTTTGTAGATTAAATTTGTAATCAGCATGCTCAGTTACCCCCTAAAGCGACTCCCAGTCCTGTAGCTCAATGCGAAAAAATCGATAAACTCGATAAAGGTGATCGACGATTTTGGGATCTAATTATATGTCATCAGCATACTAATTTATCTTCTCTGCCAACTCCCAGCTCAGCTCCCGTAGCTCAAGGCTTGCGAAAAATCAATAAAATCGATAATGGTCGATAACAGTAGCCTGCAACACTCGCCCTGCCCAAAGTGAAGGTTTACGAGAATTATTCCAAGTTAGATGGAATTTTCTGTTCGAAACATACGTACAGAGGTAGAGACATATCATCTTGTCGCCGACCGTCGCAAGGACTGGCCCTTTCCGAAGCGCGCGACGATGCGGCGAAATACCAGTACGAATCGCTACTGTGCAAGTCATGCCCTCAAAATATTTCAGCCGCGCCGCGTGTGCTCCGTGATTTACGGCCAGTCGTGCGATCGACCACTCGAAGTTACAACATACAAACGTACAAAAGACATTTAATTTTACATAAAAGAATGAGTAGACATGACTCAAAGAGAAAAGCAGAAAGGATCACATTACCTTTCTACTATCGAATGATGAGGATGGCTTGTATGTGAGAACAGGTCCGTCTTTGAAAAACCTGGAAACACGATTCTTTCTCAGTTGCCACAGAATACAGAATATGCATATAACTGCACTGTGATACAGTGTTCATATTTCTCCTTAGCAGAATACAGGGTGATACAATGAAGAAAAAAACGATTTGGAGTATAAATGCCGGAAAATAAAAAAGATCCCACCTATGTGCTCGTTGAGGATTCATGAAACGATCATATAGAAGAGATCCCACTGAGGTAGTAACACTCGATTCACCTGGTACTGCGGCTGATACCTAGAAATAGGTTAAATCCATAATATGCTAACAAATGTCGTAAACTTACTCGTCTATGGAAAATATGGCACGTAGCTCCAACTGCAATGACCCCCAACAACAGACCAAACAGCGACGTCCAGAACTATAATTCACAATATTAAACGTACTAGTTCCACCGGTTGTTCTCAATCAATCTGACTATAAAGTGTTTCCACGTGAACGGTCGATGCAGCGGTGTACGCACACGAGCACTGCGATTCCCGAGCCATGTTGCCACTACTGCGGCGAACAGCAAGGCTCGCAAGCAATGGTCTTCAATGAAACGGAGCTGCAAGATGTGCGTATTAGAGAGAATAAAATTGGCTGATGAAACGAGAAATCAATAACATACTGCCACTTACATGAATGAAGGTGGTTGAAAAACTACCCAGCCACATATAAACCAAATCACGCGCCTCTCTACCACAGTTACCAATAATGTAAACTCCTAAAAATCGATTTTTACATGGCAAGCAGCATTTTGAATAATGTAGAGAAGGAGATCACGAATTCCGAGACTGACTCAACACCAGAGAAAATAATTGCACATACCAGCCGTGACAGCCGCAGCTAGTGCAGAAACCATAATCAGACTGTCATTAGTAGAAGTACCAAACGTAACACTTCCAGCCGTCCAGCAGAGAAAACCTTGAAACCAGATTTCCTTGTATTTCTCAATCGCGCACAACTTTCAAAATACAATTTCAAAACTTGAGAAAAAGACAACGACCCAGCTCTGATTTTTATCGTCAAGAAACATTTCTGATATATCGGCAATTAATAACACGCAAGGACTGGGCGTCGTTGCGTCTGACCAAGATAGCTTGTGCTTGAGAGAGACAGTAGATGGTGAGAGAAACGAAAGGGCGCATGATCAGAGAGGCGCCGACATGTCCGCAGTCTTTGCGTGCAATGATCGCCTTACGACATAACACCGCGAAAAATTTACTCTTACCTAACCACACTGCATATGCTACCGACGCTGCAAATCTCGGTACAGAAAAAGGAACGAGTCGTGAAAGATTAGCCATCAATTTACCATTTCTGTAATATTCTCCTCAGTTGCAAAGGTCACGATGATTCCACATTAACTCACTTGTATTTCTTCATTTCTACGCCTTCACCAAGTTTGAGCATATTATAGAATTCTACTTGGCTATTGATGTAGAAACTATCATAAAGAGTACCTAAAAAAATTTTATCTGAAGATCCTGGTGGATTTATGAAGCCTTACCTAGCAGAAATATTCCTCCAGTGGAGATATATACAAACGCTTCTGGAATCTGCTCAAGGTACAATTTGTGAAGGCCAACGATGCCACCGATCATCAGCAGAAACCTAAACGCTGGGTGGTCCTCACACTAAAGTGGTGAACGATTTGTACGAAATTTTATGAGAGTGATATGATTGATAGAATGATATGGGATTTTTTTCGAAGCGGTTTACATTAGATAATACGCTTGCGATTTGCTGGTATTTATGTATAACTGGAAAAGTTTCTAGATCTTACATGAGCAAGTTTACAGAGATTGCCGCCAGCTTGCAAAACTTGAGAAAGTATCAAAAAAAATTTTCCTTAAAAACGAGTTGTCGCTGCACCCTCTTGAAGAGTTGACACGGCCCTCCCCCTTCCTTCCTCCCCCCCCCCCTCTCCCCATCTTTCTATTGAAACGCCATTATTATAGACGAATATCACGCACAGACTGGCCGCTGTTGCGTTCCGACCAAGATAGTTCGTGCATGGGAGAGACGGCAGAGCAAGAAGATGAAAGAGCTCGATTAGCAAGACGGCAACAGCGTTCGTAATAATGCCGTCTCTGCGTGAGATGAATCATCATTTTATAATAAAGAATGGCAAGGTTTTGCACTTACATGTTGACAAGTTGCGGAATGAGGCGAGTGATTGCCGAGGGTGCGGAGGGTGCAGATTGTCGAGGGACCGTAGATTCGCCCGCAGGAACGATTACTTTTGGATTGGAGCAGGAATTGTGTTTAGAGCGCTCAATCGTCTCTCGTTCTGCTACGTGCAGTTATGAATTCGACGGAACTCCTTTTTCCAGTACCAGTTTAGTCTATGTTAGCTCTTTACACTGTGTTCTTGTGTGACCAATCATCTTGTAGGTCTGAAGTTCTAGAGTTTCTCAAGTGAGGTGTAGTGCATCAGAGTTATTGTAATCTTTATTGTCAAGTTTACTAGAGGTGGAAAGAGCAACTGGCTAGAGGTCACATTCAAAAGTAGTCTACAGCAAACTCAGCCCCGGTCAACATTTTGACCCAGTTGCATCTTGATGGTTCCGTCTCATTCGGTTTTCAAATAGTGACGAGGTTGCATCGAGGTTTTTGCGCTCGGATGTTCTACACAAACAAAGCCATCGAAATGTTTGCCACTTTACGGCTAACACTTATTTTGCAAAGTAAAAAAGTAAAAATAAAAGTAAAAATTTTTCAGTGAAAAGGAGAAAGTTCTGTGCATCTGATACTTGAATTAGCCTTTCAGGTCCAAGCAGCTATAGCGCATCCCAAATACCGTGCACACTGTATGATCGTTAACAACTCTCTTGCCTTCATGTCTTCTTGAAGAGGGCTGTACAAATTTTACGGAGCTGAAAGACTTTGACAAAAGCACAAAAGAACAAATCTTGCCAGCTCTCGAGAAGTCACGGCAAGAAGACGACGATCAACCGCTGATCAGGGCGCAACATTCACAATCAGAGACAAACCACGATGTTGAGAAGCTGGTACAATCGTAGTTTCCTAGTGCCACCTTTTTTGCAAGAATTTCGCTTATAGGTAGATCCCCAATAGTCAAGGCATTCAATGAAGCTGAAAGGAGACGGCTGTCCAGATCGAAAAAGTGATATCTACTAAAGAAAAAAGGAAAAAGCAAATTAAACTTTTATGTACAAATTCAAACCGCATTAGTAAGGAATTTTGTACTTGATGCTGATAGTAATGGAGACCTAGAGCTTGAGTATCATCCTATGCTGTAACTCTGCGCGGTTTCCCAAAATCAGTTTCCGCTGGCGATACCCATTTGTCCAGATTTGCCTGGACGCCGGAAGAAAGTGGCTCGGCAAGCTTGATACGGAGATTAGACTTGCAGTAGTAGAGTTGCAAGACGCAACATTAGTTATTTGGTAAGCACATCCTCAAAATCAGCGTTGGAAGGATAAGGTGCTCTACGGAGGATTCCTGCTCCAATCCAAAAGTAATCGTTCCTGCGGGCGAATCTACGGTCCCTCCAGATTGTCTACAAGGCTAGCGTGTTTTCGTAGGGGTACAGGGGGTGGTAAATATCGACTGTCTTCGAGGAAGGCGTCCAAAAGGGGTGCGGTTCTTAAGTGCAAAAAGGCCTTAGTCGGGAAGGGGCCGACACTCTCGTAAGGTTGCTAACAGTATCCCCCCCCCCCCCCCCTCTTTCGCAAATTTGTACTCGGATGTATGACTTGGGAACTCGGTGTCTTGCGTAAACATGCTGTAGTAGTTTCTCAACGTTTACGCTTCAACTGTTCACACTCTAATCTTCCTGCTAAAGTTCTTGGCAGCCCGTAATTCGTCAAAGTTCATGGTTGCTCATAATTGGTGAGGACTGATGAGAACAGTTCTTTGTTCTTCTCGAAAAGTTGGTAAACGGCCCGTAGAGCGATTTCTATAGGTCTCTAAGGCTCATAGGGCAATCATTTCTTACAACTCTGGTCTATTAGCTGTCCATTGGGTAGATCTTTCAATAAATGTAGTTGTTCATAGGACACTTTCTTGATTTGTAGGGGCTCGTAAGGCAGTTCTGTTAATAGTATTGATCGGCATCTGTAAGCTTCACGTAGCGAGTTTTTTCTACAAATCATTCAGTTATCGTTCCATAAGCTTCGCATATGGCAAAATTATTTCTCAGATGCTGATCTATAAGCGGCCAGAGCATCTCCTAGAATAGTCGGTCTGTATGCGGCGCATAGGGTAGTCCCTTTGAAAGTTGCTTTGCATGAACGTGAATATCGTAAGCGATTCATTATTATTTTTTTTGGATACTGGGAAATCACAAATACTTGTTTATAAGGGACTCGCAGAGCGGTTCTTTTTCAAATATTGATCTATGAGCGGCTTTTGAGGCAATTTCTTTCAAGATGTTTTTCATATACCGGTCTGTAAGCGGCGCATAAGGCAGTTCCTTACCAAGATAATGGCCTGCAAGAGGCCTATGGGCATTTTTTCACAAGATATCGGTTTGCAACTACCCCTTCCCCCCCCCCCCTCCTCCTTCCCCCATAGGGCGGCTTCTTCCAAGCCCATAAGGCAGTTTTTTCCCTCCAAATATCGGTCTGTAGAATCTCATATGGCATTTCTTTTTTGAATTTTGGTCTGTAAGAGGCCAGTAAAGCAGTTTTATCACAGAATGTCGATTTGTATGGATTTCAAGGGCATTTCCTCGAAATACCGTTATGTAGGTATCTAAGTAGCTGGTAGCTCCATTTTCTTCGATCAGAACTTCGGTCTTTGGCTCCATAGAGCAGATCATATGTGAGCGCTTCGTACGGCAGTACAGTTTGTAGGGGTTCTAGGGTAATAGAATTTTAGGATATCGGGCTGGTTCCTATAGGACAGCGCCTTCTCATAATTATTGGTCCGTGGGGGAAGGAGGAGGGGGAGGGGGAGAATGGTTGTAAGGTAGCTTTTTCTCAGAATATCGGTCTGTAGGGCGGCCTTAGCGCAGTTCATTTTCATTTATTGCATAGGGTAACCCTATGATAACTGCAACAATACCAAAAAAAAAAAAAAAAAGAACATACGAAACCAGAACACAACAAAAATGGAATCATGAGTGATAGCTCGTGACCAACCCGTGTTAGTAACAACAAATTACCGAGACTGTAGATAGTTCCTTAAAACAGACTTAAACGTAGACAACTTTGCAGGAAACAGGCGTTTTCTAATAAGCTTGTCCATGTCATTGATTACACGACATGTAAAAAAGTGTCGGCGAACTTTGTGTTTTGATCTGGAGATAATCAATTTTCTACTCCCTCCCCTTGTATTAGAAATCCTGGTAGGAAAAAATACCCCGAAATCCAAGCCACAATGACCATACGCAATCTTATGTGCCATGAGAAGGTCAAACTTACGCCTTCTATAGGCAAGGGAAGAAAGCCCTAATTCAGTGTTCCTAGTCATACCATTCGGTATGAGAGTTTTTTCTCAAGTATGGGTTTGTTGGGGGTCAGGGGAGGAATTTGTGTACTTTCTGAACCGGTACATAAGCTTCTTATAGGGCAATTATTTTTTTTATAAACATCGGTCTATAGGGATTGTAACCTCTTAACACATTGGTCTTTCAGTGGCTCATAGGGCATGTTCTTCCTATAGTTACTGGTCTACAGTGGAGCGTAGGGCTGTTATTTTTTGATGCATTAGTTAGGACGTAAAGATATGTCTTAAGCAGCATCAGAGCTTCTCTTGTTCTCAAAATATTAGCTTGTGGTATACACAGAGCGGTTGTTTCTTGAAAAAGTAGTCCAAGCGGCTCTTTGGGCATTTTTTAAAGGTTAATTTGAAGATTTTAAGAGCAATTCCTTTTTAAAATATCGGTCTATGCGCGGCCCATAGGGCAACCTCTTCTCGAAGTGAAGGACCGCAAGCGGCTCATAGGCTTCTTTTTCATGTGCAGTTTTTTTTGAAAAATATCGGTTCGTAGGCAGCCCACAGGGCAGTTACTCTTCAAAGTAAGGATCTGTAAGCAGCCCATAGGGCCCTTCTAATGACTGATCACCGTTCGCGGGCAGTTTCTTTCTTCTGTAAGCAGCCCATACCGCTTCCTCGCATTATTATTGTGCAGGGGGCGTGGCAGATTTATCCCAGAATGTAATATCATTTATTGTTGTTCAGAGGACAGTACTTTCTCAGGTTACAACTCTGTAGAAAACCCGTAAGAAAGCTTTTTCTCGTGAAATACCGTTCTGGACAATCGGGGCAGCTCTTACGTATGTCGCTCTGTAGGCGGTACGCGGAGCAGGGTTTATTCAAAAATGTGGTCTGTAAGCGACACGCAGGGCATGAGAACAATGCTTGTGTTTGCTGCCGAAATTTTTCGGACATTAAAGTATGTTTTCAGTTTAGCTGAGGTATTGTAGACTACATCGTTGTTCTGAGAATCGACTGCTTGGTGATTCTCAGTGAAGGTTGGTGGAAAAATTTGGCCCAAAGAAAATTTTTAAAAGGGACTCAAAAGATATCGACTATCAACAATGAGATTCTTATATTTAGAGGAAAGTCAAAAGTCATTGATTAATCAGTTTCGTGTTGCCCACAACTGAAAGTATAAAACGTAGGTGTAATTGTCTTGACAATCATACGGCTAAATTGTATTGCCCCAACCCACTTGCAAGCGGCCCTTAGGGTCGCTAGTCCTTGTATATAAAGCTGAATGTCTGTTTGTATGTATGTCTGTATGTCTGTACGTATGTTCCGAATAGAAAATTCCATTTCTGAACCGATCCGGACCAAACTTGGCACACATACACTTCGGGCCCCGGCGGGTGTCATAGGCTACTTTTCGTATCGATCGATATCGATTTTATCAATTTTTATCGATGTTTTTGCTGAGTTCACCTACGGGGCTGGGAGTTGGCACAGGGGGGTAATCGAGCATGGGGATTCCGAATACAATATTGGTTTTCAGGATTATCGATTACTTTTATCGATTTTATCGATTTTTTTGCAAAGTTTGAGCTACGGGGCTGGGAGTTGGCACAGGGGGGTAATCGAGCATGGGGATTCCGAATACAATATTGGTTTTCAGGATTATCGATTACTTTTATCGATTTTATCGATTTTTTGCAGAGTTTGAGCTACGGGGCTGGGAGTTGGCACAGGGGGGTAATCGAGCATGGGGATTCCGAATACAATATTGGTTTTCGGGATTATCGATTACTTTTATCGATTTTATCGATTTTTTGCAAGGTTTGAGCTGGGGGGCTGGGAGTTGGCACAGGGGGTAATCAAGCATGCTCGATTACACCCCTGTGCCAAATTCCAGCCCCCTAGCTCAAATTTTCAAAAAATCGATAAAATCGATAAAAGTAATGGACGATCTTGAAAACTAATATTGTATTCGTAATCTGCATGCTCGATTACCCCCTGTGCAAACTCCCAGCCCCGCAGGTCAAACTTTACAAAAAAATCGATAAAATCGATAAAAGTAGTGGACGATCCTGAAAACTAATATTGTGTTCGTAATCAGCATGCTCGATTACCCCCTGTGCAAAATCCCAGCCTCGCATGTCAAAATTTACAAAAAATCGATAAAATCAATAAAAGTAATCGATAATTCTGAAAACTAATATTGTATTCGGAATCCCCATGCTCACTTCCCCCCTGTGCCAGCTCCTAGCCCTGTAGGTGAACTCTGCAAAAAAATCGATAAAAATCGGTAAAATCGACATCGATCGATAACGAAAAGTGGACTGTGACACCCGCCGGGGCCCGAAGTGTATGTGTGCCAAGTTTGGTCCAGATACGGCGGAGCCGGGTAAGCCAGCTAGTCGCCTATATATGCCATTCTGCAAAAAAGAGCATTCCTCCAAAATAAGCGCTGAAGAGAAGGCTCAAATCTGAAATGAACCCCAAAGTCTAATTGGACGCTGTTTACCCTATACGGTATAAGGACAGAAGCTTGATATCGCTAGGACTCATATAACATCCAGTTGGACGAGTCATCGATAAGCACTAGCTCAAGCGTATTGATATGAGGGCGCACGGGGATGTCGATGTTGCACTGCGGACATTCATTTTCCACTAACGTATAATCGGTGATTCGCAAAAAAAAACTGGTAGAGCGAAGACAAAAGGAAGATATGTCTGAGCAAGTTTTTATATATCCATCTATGTATTATTCTTCTTCCATGAACGAACAGTTCATAGCTATTTTCCCAATCTAATGATGCTGGTCCCTTTTCTTCCCAGTGCGAACACGGCGACTCCGCGCGTAGGGACAGGGCGTCATCCGCACCCGTTGGCATTTCGCTGATTGAGTGCTCTCTCAGACAGTCGGTGCCGTAGTCGCGGCGGACAGTCGAAATCTGGCAAAGCCGCGGAGGACCCAAATGACCAATGAGAGCGGGGCGAGGGGGCGGTCCCTTCTTGTAGGTCACGGTGCCGTCACAAGCAAGCGAATGGGACCCTTCTCCGGGACGCGCAAATCTCTGCTCCGGAGGTGCGCCACTTTTGGGAGAGCCCCGGAGCACAAAAATGCGTGAAATACCAGGGCTCCGGAGCGCGAAGTGGCAATCCTCCGCTGGGGAAAGCCCGCGACCCTGCCACTTCTGCTCCGGAGGTATCCCATCGACTGTCTGAGCATGCACGGTCCAGTCTCTTCATGCGATGACTCGCCTACAGTGTGTGTCAATCATGTGCTCTTTTCGACAGGAGTTACGCTCCCGCGACGCGAGGTCCAAGCGTGCAGACTCACGATCAATGAGGCCAATTCGAATGCCCAAGCCATACGCGCGAAGCTCTCACGTTGCAACTGCGCCGACGAAAAGAGGAGTAATATCTGCTGCATGACGAAGGCGGTTGCCCAAATAGGTTGAAGGTTGTCGCGCACGCGGCGCGCGGGCAGTTGTCAGCCACGGGGCACGCGCACGTTACAGTGGATGACCGCTGACCGAGCGTGCGCGCGCCCGGTGGTTGACAGTTGCCCGCGCGCCGCGTGCGCGACAGCCTTCAGCCTATTTGGGCAACCGCCTTCGTCATGCAGCAGATATTACGTGATTACAGACTGTATATTTTTTTACACACTAACAGGATGGAAACGCTCTTCTTCCGTGTTGGTCGGGCGCGATCCGATAATCCAAAACTTCCTGTACTAGAAGGTTGGTTTTCGTCCTACACTTCCCTGCTGTACTAGCCAAAAATCGATGCGGGCGAACTGAAGCCAACAAAGTAACAAAAAGTTCGAAGTCAACCTTTCTGCTGGATGCAAGGGCAATTACCATACTAGTTGGAACTTCTGCTCTCAAATCAAACTCTGCTTTCTAGACTCACATTAGTATAAGATGCCAAAGTTACACACTGAGAGGGTGTTAAAGGCAGCGTCCAGGCTAACCTGGACATATAGGGCTCTCACGTGGATAGTAATCTTGGGGCCCTAACTAAGCCATTGTCCAAGCGGCAGCTCAGGTAGTGCCCTAACGGCTGAGATATTCGCCTCGAAACTGGACCCCGGGGTCGTATTTCGCATGGATTCATGGCGCAACCCATGGGTCCTCGCGCGAATTTGATGGTTTGCGCCATGAATCCATGCGAAACACGATCCCGGGGTCCAGTTTCGAGGCGAATATCTCAGCCGTTAGAGCACACTACCTGAGCTGCCGGTTGGGCAGTGGCTTATTTAGGGCCCCAAGATTACTATCTACGTGAAAGTCCCCATAGTCCAGATCTGCCTGGACGCTGCCTTTAATCGCAGAAGCTAAAGAAAATACCTCACCTGGCCTTTAGTGGATCCGCAAGCCGGGGAGCGCTTGAAGAAGCAGCATCGTCCAACATTCCCAGATGACGAGGACGCTACTGCTACAAGCTCCTTTCGGTCTACACACAGCGATGTACGTCACGATAACACCACTTCTTGTCGCTTGCACTAGCGACGAAAAGATCATATCATGCCTTTGGTTCCACCTCAGGAATGGATAAAAACAAAGTAGACATTAACCAAACTGTATACGTCATCGGTCGCAACCTTTCTCAGAGGAAATAGTTGACACTCCCAGAATATTCTTTATCAGCATTCGAATAGAAAACTTCACATTGTAATCATAAATCATCTATCAAAGGCGATAATGCGATAGATTATTATAAAACCAAACAATCAAATCTGTTATAAACCCACTGTTAGAGAAACAAGCAGAAAATGCACAACTATTGAGGAGACAGCATGTGCTGTCAGGCTTCAACGGTTGAAAAGGAAAAGCGGATGTTAAATAGACCTTTAATTCATCACGACGGATCTGCGTTAACTTTGAAGCCCGTTAAGTATGATCTCTCGATTTACTCTAAGGCACCCGCCATACTTGATCCGCTTAATCCGCTTCGTCATTGGTCGATTCAGTGAACTGAGCAATAGCGAAGCGGTTGTCCGCTTGATCCGCTTGATCCACTTCACTATTGGTCAGTTCACTGAATTGACCAATGATGAAGCGGATCAAGCGGATCAAGTGGATTAAGCGGATCAAGTGTGGCGGGTGCCTAAAACATAAAAACCACAACAGTGGCAAGAAAACCTTGTGCATCGAAATCATAGGCCTTCAGAGCAACCATCTTCTCGTGAAATCTGGCATTTATATTAATTTATCTCAGTATTACACCAGTACATTAACACATCAAAGGATCACATCTGATGACAAGAACTAACGCAAAAAACAAGTCACAGCAATAAGGAAGGAATGTAGCGCATTAAAGATGGCTGGCTGCCGGGTGGGCCAAATAAAGGAGTGTAATAATTTTCGGCATAAACAGATCTACAAAGCGCGAAAAACAATCTTGTCAATCAGAGGAAGTTGCACTCCTTAATAAAAAAGATGACTGGCGTATCGAATGACGCTAAAGCACTCAAGAGTACTTTAAGATACGCTCAAATTGCTGCTGCATCAACAAGGGAATGACACGCACAGGTCTACAGGAGATATAACGGTTAGAAGTGAGAAAAGCTTAATCAATTTTAACAGCTGCATAGATGCGTCGCAAGAATGCGTATGAAGCATAAAATCCAATTGTACCAGTGAGGAACCAGAAGGTAATTGCCATTAAGGCAGAATAACTGAAGTATAGCACAGTGGGTACAAATCCTTCGATATCCAGTTTGGTGTTGTAATAGAATATTGAATATGCCATCACTGAAACAATGCGCAAACCTGCTCTTTTGTCCTTGGTGAAACAACTTATATTTGAGAATATAATGAAGGCTTCATGAGATGAAATAAATTTCGAGGAGTAGGCATAGAATGAGCATGTTAACAAAAGAATGCACTTACCATACACAGCAGAACCTCCACTTACTACAAAGGACTTCCACCACCAGCGATAATTCTGCAAAACAAGCTAGTCTGGCACAAAAAAAAAATGAGAATAAGCAAAAACGAACCTCGGCGCAAAGCATGAAATATGTGGCTACGATAGAGATCTGCGCTGTGCTGATCACAAGAATCAAACAAACAATGAATAAGAAACCGAACAAATAGTAAAACTGATTCTCCCATATGGCCTAAAAAGCATAGTTCAAAAAAAGCTTTCGAAACATAAGAAGAATGCCACCTATACTAGCGACAACTTACCGAGAAGATAAAGAACAATTCTATGAACATGGCACCAAATGGCAACACTCCTGCAAGCAATGTACAAGGAACTGTTCTCAGGTACCATGGCTGGTCAGGTACTTGGCGTGGAATTTGATTGGTGCGCACTGGGTGAGTGTAGGGCTAAAAAAACTTGCTGAATCGGCCAAAGGTTCCAACAGCAAAATATGAAGGCAAACCTAAATTTCAAAAAGATAAAACGCAATGATCAACAGTACCTGTTTTCTGTATCCAAAGTAAAAGCCCAAAAATACAAGTGGCAAATCAATGCCAAACCACATCAAAAGAAGGGCGATCATTGTTCCAAACGGAACCTACAAATTAGAGGCTGGTAACGCTCTTATCAGAAGGGGAAATGAATACTCACAGCCCCTGACGATTGTTTGCCGATCAAGAAGAAATTGAGAACGAATCCACTCCCAAGAATTAGCGAAGGGAAAAGAGTACCGGTCTGTAATAATGAGTATGCAACTTGGACTAAAAACAGCGAGGTATTAAATAAACGTAGCACATTCCTTGGCATCGCATACTCCCACTACGTCATACGAGCAATCAGCACCAGAAAATACCTGGATGGCACATCGAATCGGATTCCTTCCTTTCATGGTTTTGTAGAGACGTCCTGCATGGTAACCGCTGATCAGACCCATGAAGCAGAACAGAAATACGGCGGCGGACATGAGCGAACCACGACTTGCAGGGGACAACATACCCAGCATAGCGAAGACTGTAACGGATGAGCAGTATAGGCAAACTTAAAGAAGTTTCGACTGAAACTTACAAACAATGATTCCAACCATTCCAAGCAGTTGTATGCCAGTGCCGACCATATTTACAAGGATCATTTGATGAGGAGGAGGCCGGAAAACATCTCCATGAACAAGCTTCCAGCCTGTTTCTTCCAAGGTATCATCCTGAAAAATAGAGGTTTTTAGACTATACATTCAATACGAATCAGAACTGTCATGCGGTGATGACTACCAAAAAGAAAGTTAATGCCAGTTCATTGAATTGACTGATGCAGATGCTAATTCTTACCTCAGCTTCATCCTTATTATAGTGGGCGATATCTCGACGCACAGTTCGTACGATTGATACACTCAGAAAACCTAAATCATTTTGAAGTAAAGATCTCCTACACTATCATTATAGTATCAAACATACCGCTCAACGATAGTACGACTACAATCGAATTCAAAATGCTGAACCAGTGGATATCAACAGCTTTCACGGACAGATAAACGTCCCATCGACTAGCCCAAGGAATCTGCAACTCAGCTATATTCGATAACTGGAAGCAGTGCAAGCACAACTCACATCACTAGGTTCCCAGAATACACTGTATGTCCAATGAATCTTTTGATCTTCCTCTTTCAATTCATAGAAATTCATTTCTTTGTCGACACCGACGCATTCCTAAGCATCAATCGTTATAAGCAATCGATCTGCATTGACTTTTACCCTGTTGTTATCGAAAGTGACTGTTTTGACCGAACGAGGCTTCACTTCAAAGCCAACAACTCGGTAGAGTCCTGGCAAGTGCTCATGATAGAGCATAACGATGTCCAAGTGATTGTTCAGGAATACCTGTAAGTTCGATGCATCATAACCATCAAATATTACCAAATGATGTAAAATCCTTGAATCTCTGTTAAATCGAGGTATTGCTGATGAGGACTAACGAGCACATTATGCCTACAAACATCGTAAGATGGTATTTTTCGCTAATTTCAAACGATTTAGAGTAATTATGCGGTTTTGCAACATCTCACGAGCTGATATATAATAGATTTGAGGCGACAAATGTCACAAACATATTAAATTACTCTATGGCAAAAACATTTTACGACCATAGCTGTTATTGCAGCGGCCGATAAGAGCCAGTCATGTATTGCCAAGAAAGGTAGCTATGCGAAAAGCGGAGCAGGCACGTAGTGTCTGCGCAACTGCAGCTTAGAAAAAGTGTCTTGGGCACCAATTCCACCTTTTGCACAAAATCACATACCAAAGGCTTTGTCATATGGTTTGTCCCTCAGAGATGCCCATAGGTACCATCAGCTGTCTGCCTTTCGATCGTTTTAACACGTCAACTCCAGCAAAATTAAGGCACTTGTTTGAAATTGACACGTTGAAACGAGCAAAAGGAGGTCACGTTGATGGTACCTAGGGGAACATTTCTGGGAGAGAGACGATATGTCAAATCGCGATGAACAGGAGATTTTCAAGGCAACAACGACGTTTCATACTTTGCCTATTATGCCCATCTCATTCTAAGACCGAAATGAGAATAAAGAAAAAAGCTTAAAATGATTCTGTGGTTTCCACAGAGCGAAGAAAACAACTCTAAATCAACGAAAGGGCTTACCTTCCCATCCTCGCCAACCCATCCAATCTTGTAACCAAGATCGTAAAATATCTCGCCAGTTTTGGGCACTTCATACTTGGTTGCGGAAGGTAAATTATCGACTAATCTGAAAGCAAGCAAGTTCTCTCACATTAAAAGTGTCGCAATCTGATTGTCTTGCTTGAGTGCAGAAAAAATCACCACCAGAACAAAAACATAGAAACTAACAGATGCGCATGGTAGTCCTCTTTGATGCGATCCATTAGCCTTTTAGCCGCTGCACCAGTTATTTCCATCGGAGCGGTTGTTGTGCATGCGGAAGCACATGCAACATTCTTCTTCATGAACAACTAAAAAGAACAATAATTACACCTCATTTTGCAGAAGGGCATGAAAATTGGACCTGGTACGGTGTATTCACGATACGATCTCCTCGCATGACTTCGCCAAGATTCTCCGATTTGTAAAGCAACTCTCCATCGGGACGACAAAATGGAAGATAGTAGTATTCATATGGAACTATTGTTTTCGTACTCGTCAATTTTATAGCCTATAAAAATTTCCTAGCAGGCAAGTTCAGCTAATAAACGAAAAGAATCCAATGCATGGCATAAACGCTTACTTTGACTTCTATAGGATCACCGCTTTTGAATTCAACTGGAGCCACTCCAGGAACGTAGAATCCTTGTTCAAGCGGTATAAGCCCTAAGAAAACGATGATAGACCAGAAACAGTTCGTCATCGTTCTCAAGTAAAGAGCAGAAACGCCCTACTCTGCAAAATACAGAATATAGATGCGAATGCACAATGAAGCACAACATGATTTGGAAACTCGAAACCTAAAACGATGTGAAGATCGATAGTTACAAATAACACAGCATAACAGATTAATCTGCAACTCAAACATAATTTGAAAACTGTAAACATAATTTGAAAACTGTTGATAGTTGCTGCCGTGTCCAGATACGTAAACTATAATCAGATTCACAAAGCTAGAGTTCGATTGTAGTAACGCGCTATAGCATGGCCTAATACTGAACAGAGAAATTGTATTGTGACAGTTCATTAGAGATCTTCTAATATGGATAAAAAGAGACTCAACAAACATAACTTCAAAAAGATAAAGCAAGCTAGGCAAGACTTGAAGAAAAATTTCCTTGGGCCAGTACACACGTAAACGATGGGGATGTGCGCTCTAGGGCGATTTTCACGCGCAAGTCGCACGTATGCAACACTACGTTTCTTTCCGCGCAAATGTTGTCGTCACCGCAGATGAACTACGTCAACCGTCGGAATTATTAGACTATAGACAAAATTCTATGAAATGAAAAATGGAGAAATATATACCTTGCTTTCCGCTAGCTAAACCTAAAAATCCAATTATTCATGTTTACACATCGAAATGACTTTTTCTACTTAGCTTGAAGGTCCTCCACATACAGTTCCCAATACATATCACATTCACATGCGACTCATTTGATGTGTACGGGCCCATTTCCGTTATTTCTTTGCATTCCACTGCGACCTCATTTCACATAAACTCCCGAGAAATAGCCTATTCCTATGACTGAACAAACGTTGGGCTCGCTTTTTAAATTTTGTTGCAAATGCACTTTCAGGATGTAATATGACCCGCGCAGAAAAGCATCTTTACCAAAAAAATGAGGTTCTTCTATAGTCTTTAAGTGGTTCGATCACGATTCGAGTGATTCTTTTCAAGAATGGGAGATTAGAGGAGGAGAGCTGATATCTCATTATTTGATTTCAGTTTTGCAGTGAGCTCATTTGTAATATTGACTCTGAGAACAAAGCGAGAGTAGAAAGAAGAGTATATTGCTTTTGGGGATGAAAATGACGTCTGTACCAGAACAAAGGATCGCTGAGTCACAGATTATTGAATCCGCGCACAAACATCCAATACAATTCTCAATCAAGAATAGCACAAACAGCATGCAAATGTCTCTGGAAAAGCATAAAATCTACTGCGACTAGATCTACTCTTTTCCTAGAAGAATCTGTAAGAAGAAACTCTTCCATGATGCCGAAAAAAGAAGAGGATTGAGGTTTGGAAGGGGGCACCAGCCCGCTGTCGAATTCGCAGAGCCACGCCCCACATCGCCATGCCACGCATGCAGTCTTGGCCGGCTACCGTACGCAAAAATCCATAGCTCTCATTTTCCGATCGAAATCTCTCGACGCAAGTTTTTTCACTCAACTCTTCCGTACATGAAAACGTGGCTGTTTTTTCCTCCATTTTTGGCGAGTTACATCACAATACAATTCGTCACAATTTATTGTGCTATGCGTTCTCATCGCAGATCGATAGAGTGCCCTGCGCTCATTGTTTATTTTTTTGCAGAGCGTATATTATGAGTGAACGAGTAGCAGTTACGAGTGGGGGATCGCCGATCGAGAAGGGAAGCTATGTGGTTGTACAGAAAGTCGGCGGTGAGCATATTCGTGTAATGCGACTATCCGCCAAGCAGAAAGTGCTCATCGAAAAATTGAAATTTGAGGCAGATAGGTATGATTTCTTCCTTTTAGATTCCAGCATCTCAAATTAACCGGTTTTGTACTTCTTTCTCAAGAAATTTCTTAATTTTCTATCAATTTCATCTGAAGATAACTTACTCGTCATCTTTTGTTTTCTTACATGTTCATGTGAACACTCGAATCAGCGAAGTTTTTATGGTAGAAGAAATTTGCTTCTTGTGAAGACAACGGAGATTGACGCAGAATATGCGAATTCTGCAGACACTGCGGCGGCGCGTTCAGTTGTTTCCAACATTTTTATGTTTTTCTCCATCTGTACCTTAGGGCCGATATTTGATAGCCAAAGCACGCATTTTGAGCTTTGTGTTCTATGCTATGGGACAGTGAAAAAGGTTTCTTGATCGCGTGTTGCAGAACTTGTAAGGGTTTTCCCAAGGTTTCTTACAACTTCTGATGTATAGGCGGTTCATCGCATGCACGGACTGTAAGCCTGCTGCCTCCGGCCGAGATAGTTCGTGCGTGGGAGAGACAGCAGACGGTAAGAGGGGCGAGAGTGCATTGGATTCAGCAAACTCTTTGTTCTATAGGCAATTCATCGCACGCAAGGACCGCCGACAGGTCCGCGGTCCTTGCGTGCGATGAATTGCCTATAGAACAAAGAGTTTGAGAGCCAATAAATCCTCTAGAGTTAGTGTACAAGAATTGTGCGCTTATGTGTACAGTCTTCTGCTCGTTTATTTGAAAAAATGTTCTGTGATTTGTTTCTGGCTACATGCTCAAAAGTTCAGAATTTCCTGACAGTCTATACAATATAGTATACTATTACTGCAGTCACAGTGTGAAATTGAACAATTTTTTGTCACCATTGTTTTTTTGGCCCTTTTACTAGTACGTCTAGGCCAACTTTTTTCATCCACATCCATTGATCATTGTTAAAAGTACTAGTTGTATGCTAGTACAAGGTCTTTTGCCGTTTTTTTTGCGAAATTGTGGTTTTTTTAGCGTTTTTGGACATCCTTACGGTCTCTTTGAGGTGTCATCGGGGAAAGCTATTCCCATTTCTGCTTCTCAGCTAGTCCAGGAAGAAGGCGTGGGAGACATTGGTGAGCTATGCTGTCACCGTTTTTCCTTGATTTTTCCGCTTTCAACAATTTTGCCAATTTAGAACTGCGTGATGTAAATGGCAGTGCTGACAGCGAATCTACAGTTTTAGAGGAGTGCAACCAAGAGGAGCAAAACCTCAACCCAGCTCAAGTGAGTTCTTTATTTTTTTTTATTTAACTCTCTTAAAGCAGTGCTCCGTTGAGGCTCTTCAAAAACTTAGTCAAGAAGATGTTCTCGCTCTCAAAGGTCAAGGGATCTCAGCTGGAGAGCTAGTGAGCAACTTTTATAAGGGAATCCAACGTTAGGGAATTTCGTCTTTTATAGGTCTCCAAATTAGTAGAAGGTAGCAAATCGTTTAGTTCACGTACAGAATATTCAAAAAGCAAGTATATACGACGGAAAACGAAAAAGCATTCAGACAGGTACACAATCATTCAAATTCGTTATTTTACCCGAGCACTGAGGTGCTTTTTCTGAAACTTTTATATATTTTAAGATTTAAAGTCCTTCTACTGTTTTCTAGAGTTCTCATTCTCAAGCCAACTGTTCGACTACTGTGTAGATCTTACTATATGAAAGACTGTGGACGGGTTTCTAACTTGAGGTTTTTTCTCTTTATACACTTACAAGCAATACTGATGATTACCAACAATTTTGAGGGTCGACCAATTAGGAATGATCATTCAGTTGGCAGATGTACATCATGGTAAAAACTGCGTTGTTTTTGATCAGGTTAGTCTATCTATATTTGAGGATCATTTTTATCCGCTTTTTCTCAAAATCGCACGGTATTTTTCCCTTTATTTCATACTACCAGATCAAATTATTCATCACTCTGTGGCACATCTGATTTTTTATTCAAGTCATGTGATGAATGCATTTCTTTTATAGGGTAAGTTGCCCTTCATCTGTAATGAGCTTTTTATAGGTGCTGGGCTTAGTTTCTGCAGCCGTGGTCGATAGGCTAGCTGGTCTAGGCTCGTGCATCCATCTTCATCGGGGTCTCATAGCACAATCCATACCATGCGTTCATAGCATGAACTTCAGCGAAGAGGTTTTTGCCATCAGTTCTGAAATAAGGAGAACTTTGGAAAAGTAAGCTTTTTTCAGATATTTTCCACATTTTTGCCAGTTTGCATAGCTTCGTTACTGGGAACCGCCAAACAAGTCGATGATACTAAAGATATTTCTTTGGAAGATGAACCGATGGATGAGGAGGAGGTATCATGTTGCAGAGACATCTTGCATTGGAGCCATCTATAATTTGAAACTTAGGCTGCAGAAGGCACGTCCTTAGCACGGAAAGCTGATCGATTGGCTAGAGAAAAGCGAGGGCTGGCTTTACTTGAAGATGGCGTAGATGCTTTGATTATAGCTACAAGAACTGTAAATCAGAAAATCTTATATATAAAGCTGAATGTCTGTTTGTATGTCTGTATGTCTGTCTGTATGTCTGTCTGTATGTCTGTATGTACGTATGTTCCGAATAGAAAATTCCATTTCTGAACCGATCGGGACCAAACTTGGCACACATACACTTTGGGCCCCGGCGAGTGTCATAGGCTACTTTTCGTCATCGATCGATATCGATTTTATCGATTTTTATCGATTTTTTTGCTGAGTTCACCTACGGGGCTGGGAGTTGGCACAGGGGGGTAATCGAGCATGGGGATTCCGAATACAATATTGGTTTTCAGGATTATCGATTACTTTTATCGATTTTATCGATTTTTTTGCAAAGTTTGAGCTACGGGGGTGGGAGTTGGCACAGGGGGGTAATCGAGCATGGGGATTCCGAATACAATATTGGTTTTCAGGATTATCGATTACTTTTATCGATTTTATCGATTTTTTTGCAAAGTTTGAGCTACGGGGCTGAGAGTTCGCACAGGGGGGTAGTCGAGCATGGGGATTCCGAATACAATATTGGTTTTCGGGATTATCGGTTACTTTTATCGATTTTATCGATTTTTTTGCAAAGTTTGAGCTAGGGGGCTGGGAGTTGGCGCAGGGGGGTAATCGAGCATGCTGATCATCCCCAAGGGGGGTGATCAGCATGCTCGATTACACCCCTGTGCCAAATTCCAGCCCCCTAGCTCAAATTTTCAAAAAATCGATAAAATCGATAAAAGTAATGGACGATCTTGAAAACTAATATTGTATTCGTAATCTGCATGCTCGATTACTCCCCTGTGCAAACTCCCAGCCCCGCAGGTCAAACTTTACAAAAAAAATCGATAAAATCGATAAAAGTAATGGACGATCCTGAAAACTAATATTGTGTTCGTAATCAGCATGCTCGATTACCCCCCTGTGCAAACTCCCAGCCCCGCAGGTCAAAATTTACAAAAAAATCGATAAAATCAATAAAAGTAATCGATAATTCTGAAAACTAATATTGTGTTCGGAATCCCCATGCTCACTTCCCCCCTGTGCCAACTCCTAGCCCTGTAGGTGAACTCTGCAAAAAAGATCGATAAAAATCGGTATAATCGACATCGATCGATAACGAAAAGTGGACTGTGACACCCGCCGGGGCCCGAAGTGTATGTGTGCAAAGTTTGGTCCGGATCGGTTCAGAAATGGAATTTTCTATTTGGAACATACGTACACGGGTCTAGCTGGCAGGCCCGGCGGAGCCGGGCAAGCCAGCTAGTATTCCATACTTCCTCAAACATTCTCGTCTAATTGAGAAAATTCAGGTGGACCCCCTATCCATTCTAGAAGCTCTCTTCCCGAAACTACGGCCATCCGGTTCAGTTGTTGTCTATGCGCCTCATATGGAGGTATCATTTTTCATTCCTACTTTCTTTGAGGATATTATCTACGCTTACTGGTAGTGTAGGTACAACTTCGGTCTATTGTAGCTTATTATGGACGCCCATCGTTGGCTAATGGATCATGAATGCTTGAATGTGCGATTGTCCGAGCAGATGTTTCGGATTCATCAGGTGATCAGGAGAAGTATTTTTCGATGGTAAAATATCAGATATGGGTCACCTCATTGCCCTTGTGCCGGCGCTGTGCCAGCTCTGTTCCAACGCAGTAACACACATGTAGCGCCCCGTGATCATGGCCGGCCAGCGGGACTGCGCCAGCACGGTGATGAAACGGCGCTAGTATGGCGCTGAGACGAGCAACTTTGGACGCAGCCTATGTCTTCTCCAAATCAACGACGTCGATGCATGGTTTCCAGAGTCTAAGCGTTGTCTGCATTAGTTTCTCACAAGTTTATCATTGAAACGGAAAGGATGCCTACATATCTCTTGGCCAAAGCTACACGCACGCTGTTATTTGCTCTTTACTCTTGTTAACATCGTAAATGATAGGGCTATCACTTCGTCACATTCACAGTCCAAAGAGAGCGATAAATAATGTTGCGTACGTGTTTGACCTTGCTACTCGACATTTCAGTTCTGGCAAAATGTCAAGAAGTGGTGACTTTGAGCAATCTTTTGAAACATTGCCAATGTTCAGGTTCTTCCCGATCGCACACATCCATTGATGGCCCAACATGTCGTTGGTGGTCAGCTGCTTAGTGGCATAAAAGTCTCAACACCTGCATCAACAGCAACTTCATAACGACGTGAGACGGTAGCTAGCGCTACATTTGTTGTCAGCTGTTCATATTGTTGTCTTGTTATTGTTGTTATTTATTGATGAAAAAATAAAATTTTGAAAGGAGCGTCACGTTTAACAACTGGAGCGGAAGGAAGTGAAATGGCTGGTGTTTCAGTCTTTGGTGTGATCGCAGTCGCTTACTATAAATCACAAATGACAGCTCTTTTCTCTCAAGTGGGGCGCTTTGCTGGCTTTTCGCCAACTATCTCAAGACTGCGTAAGCTTTATACTGCGGTTCCTCTCTAAAAACTCTTTTTTCAAGAGTTCAAATTTGTTGGTTCACCATAATAAAAGAGTTTTTTTCAAAGTTTCCCATCATTTCCTTCGCTCTAAATGGTTCAATAATCTCGAGTTTTTTTTTGTGAAGAGAAAGACTGTACTTTGCTCTTTTATTTACCGTTTTGAGGTTCGTAACTCATAATTAATGTAATGTCTTAAAAGGATTTCACTTCTTTTGATGGTTTTCTTTATCCTACCACGATCACGTGAACCCATTTAGGGCATTGTCGAGTACCCTAGCGTGACACAAAATGTGATTTGAACTTCTTTGCAAGATTTTCTGTCGAACACGGTTTGCCGCAGTGCTTGGGTAAACCTGCTTTCTTGGAGGTCGCTTAGTGTTGCTACGGCTATCCACGTTCCGTCTCGATAGGTGGCTACAATTTGTTCCGTGTTTCTTGTGTGGCACGGTGACTTCTTATTCTTTTCTTTGTGAGTGTGTCTCTAGGGATAATCTAACACCAAATCATCTTATTTTTAATTACTTCCACTCTCTGTCGAATATTTTAGAGCCTTTTGTAAGTCACCTCTACGAATATATGACGAGTATTCTTTGAAAAATGAGTAGTTTACTCTTTTAGAATAATAGGTGAAAAAATCGAAGTCCAGGAAGCGCAGAGGATGAACTGATGATGACTGCCATAAAGTAGCTATTTTAATTCGGAGTTTCCTTTTGATAACTCGACTACCACATAGATCTTTTTTACTTGATATGTTGGTGTCAAATTGCTGTGCGATTTTTTCTTTTAAGTCGAAATTAGATGTCAAGAAGTGCGCATTTTTCGCGCACTGCTAAATTCTATTTACAAGCCTAATTTGGGTTTTAAAAATTTTTTTAAATCACGCGCCCCTAAAAATTTTTTTCACAGGGCTAATTTGAACGCTTAGAAATTTTTTGAAAATCTTCATTATTTACAAGCGAAAACCGTGGCGACAGCCACGCCTCCAAAAAAGATTTTTGGTTAAGCTTTCCTAAGACGAGTAGGTTCTTGTAAAAAACCACTTTTGCAATTTCACCATCATATTGTAAATCTTTCAGAGACATGCACAGACCCCAGTAGAAATACAGGGCACTGCAAAAGTCACGGAGCCGATTTTGCAATGTGAAAATCACGAAACTATAGATTTTGATTCTAAATTTGCGCCACATAATGCTGCAATCATACTCTACATATCACATTTCACCTAGCTAAAAATGCTTGCCATATGTCTTCATAAGAATTGGATCTGTCAAAAAAAGGTATTACAATCTATTTCGTAGCCGAAGATATGTGAATATTCTACAACACTTTGCTGCCTGCGATGTAGAGGAGGCTTTGCGCTATCACATCGTTATAGTTGCTTTGTCCGAATTATTCTTTTGAAAACGCGAAGTAGAAATTTGCCTGCGTGCCAGAGGCCATTTGTTTTAAAATAATTTTGAAAGCTGTAGGAGCGCAGCAGGCACTGTATTTCAATCCATATTCTTTCCACGAGTCTTCCATATAAGCATCTATTTGGATTCGATCGATGGAACAATTTCAATACTTTTTAGATTATGATTTTTCGCTCCCATTCGCGCAATCGCATCCAAATTTCCAGTATGCGAGTACACTTGCCTTCTCTTGAAATTCCAACATTTTTCTCTAAATATTGCGAAAAATTTCTTCGTAAAATTTTGTAGCCAAAACTTTGCTCTATCCTACTGCACATTTATTTTGACAGAAGCATCTATCGAAGGTGTGAGAAAATTTCATTATGATTGCCGGACTAGCCAAGATCTGCAAGGGCTGCTTTGAAGCCAAATGAGGCAATCTCAAAATCTGAGAGCTGCATTGTATTTTTAAAGGTTCGGTTCATGTGTGCACTAAACTTCTTGTTTCTAGGTACTTTCCTTCTGATTTTATCTGGAAAATTACTAGGCTCCCAGACTGTTGCTCCATCCTATAATTTCCATAAGTTAGCATTCCCTTGGCATCGATGCACAAAATATCAATTAGCCAAAATCATATAAGTCTCTTTAAAATATTTGGTTTGTGTCTCACATTTTTACTCATGCGCGCAAGAAAATGACAAAAAAAACTTTTCGAAGTAATGTTTTCCGTATCTGAATTTTTCTATGCTCAATTATTTTTACATCTATCAAGACTATCAAAACACCTTTCTTCTTATGAAATCTGTGATCTGCTATTGTATTATACGCTTCTAAGTAATTTCATGGAATTTCGCATTATATCGGCTTCCCGCTAATCTTACTATTTCTAAAGACGAGGACCGTTGCATTGCCTTTGAAGATGAATTCTTTTTTGTTTTTCTCTCCCAAGAAGGTTATCCTCGACTGCAAGCGACTCGCAAATTACAGAGTTTTCTGCGAATAGGTGGCCCAAACTAGTTGTATAACACGTTCTTGAGCAACAAATTTATTTCTTGCAAGTGGCTCCTCAGCAGCAAAGAACTATCGCAAAGGTCATGGAAATACGTCACGTTTCCTTTCTAGATCAACGTAGTGAAACCTGGCTGTCCACTTTACACTCGCAACCCATGTGTCTGGTGAAAAGTTGTAATTTTTGCTGTACTTACTTTCTACTTGAATAAAAACAAAAATTACAGCATCATAATTCTGGAGCAACTTGTGTACAGCAAGTTCCAACTCAAGAAAAAGAGCCTTTCCTATTCGTCTTGAGTTTTGCGCCTCGGCAGGTTGATAATGGAATCGAACACTCTATTCGTACCTAACGTTTCGGCGAAGATGCCATCAGTAAAGGCCTGAAAGTCCATTGATTACATTTAAGGTTCAAATTAAATGATTATTTTCTTTGAGGCACAGAAAAATCGAAGATTGTGCACGCTAATGTCAAGGTTTCAAAGTAGGAGAACATAAAAAACTTTCTATTCTTTTTCTCATTAAATGAACATAGAACATCTTAAGTTGCGAAATTTAGTCTGCTTCCAATTAAGGTATCTGATAGTCTTGAAGAAAAGTCTCTATTAGCCTTCAAGGTTGCGTTTTATTTGAACCCTGGCGAATCTCCACGATTTGAATGCATGATAAATTGATACCAATCAGACCACTCTGTTCGCGGGTACCATATGACCTTTCTGATTGTAAGAACTTCCGCGTTTGTGTTAATTTTTTCCTTCTTCTTTTTTTTCTGTTGCCGGTTATCTGACGGTCATAACGAATGTGTAATAACTTTATTTTTGAAGCCCAATTTGTGTGCGTGTTCTTTTTCTGTTGACTTTTTGTGGTTCGTTCGATTTTTAACCTTGATTTAGCTGTTAATCACCGTTCTGTTATGATAATCACTTTATCAGGCGCACCAATAATTGCGATCAATAAATATTACGATAATAAAAAAATATTTACAATAATGAAAAAAAATAATTTTTTTTCCGTGCTAAATTTAGAAACCGACCATCTATAGAATGATCATAATCAGAGCGGGGTCATTCGCTGTTTATTTAACCTAATTTCTATCAGTTTCTTATTTTTTAGCCATGACCTACGCCGCTACATTATTATTAGTGGTGTTCATCAATAATTTACTTCATTTTATCTTCTGGTAGCTTCCAAGCAAAGGAAAATCTTCTTTTTCGATTATCTCAAATGAGATCAGTGACATTTTTGAATCGAAAGCTGTGAATTTTCCCTGTTTTCTTGGGTCTTCTTATGAATAAGTACAAGAAGTAAAAAAGTACCATCAATCATGTCCCTTACTTCCTAGGCCAAAAGTGCCGTTTTAACCTAAAATTTATCTCACTGACCTACTAACTTAGTGCAATTTCAGTGGAAACAACCGGTATTTTCACTATCATGAAAAATGTGTCAACAACCATATCCTTAGAGTCCTCACTTCGTGCGCGTATTCTCTATTATTTTTCTCTTCGAAACATCCGTAAGCGTCCTAGTTTTCTGGAAAGCTTTCACGGAAATTCAATACCCACAGTTTTGCATTTTCTTTGTTCATTTCTCCAAAAGTTTTTCATAGAACACCAGTTCTTGTAGAAATTGTTTTGGTAGTGAATGCTGCCATCCTGGTTGTTCAATCTCTTTTTTGTAGTTAAAATTTTTCCTTATGAAAATATCAGTGCTAGAGCTATGAAGCAACCTGTTTCTATCATCAAAAGAATGTATTTCCCCTATCGCCGCAAATTATAAGGAAAGAATCTCATTTAAAGAACGAACTCTTACCGCTTTATCTCTATTTCAGTTCAAAGCTTCGTTTTTTCAGACTAGGGGTTGTTTTGTAAAGAATATTGGGTTGTTTCAAAAGTACAACTCGTTTTTGAAGTACTTCAAACTGTCATACTTCAAAAGAGGAACTTTTAGAGAACGTACTTAACGAAAAAAAAAATCGTTACAAACCACAAATTGACAGTAGCATGCCTCAAATTTTATTGCAGCATCAATGACAAAGATTCTCCAGTCCAAAGATCCAAAACGATTTATTTGAAAATTACTACTTTGAAGGAACATAACTTATTCATGGGGAGCCCAACTTTGTCGTGTGGCTGGTGTTGGCTGAGCGTTGATATTAACCTCGGAAATCGTGGAATTCTTTGCGATTATTTTTGAAAGAACTCAAAACGACCTAATTAATTCGAGTCGGTGAGGAAATAGTTTTTTTTTGTGATTCTCTGGAGTCAAACAAATTACATTTTCCATTTTTTTTCTAATAAAAAAAGTTCTAGAGCCATTGTCTTGCTGAATAGACCGAAGGTTTGGAAATCGCGTTCCCTTCAAAATTCTTACTTAGATGACCCATAAGAGCCGTAACATAAATTGATGATGTGATTATTTCACTGCTCATAATTTTTCCTGAATCCTTGAAAGTTATTTGTAGCAAAGCGGCAAACATTACACAAATTTTCAAACTTCACCGCTTGCCTGTGTACATCAAAGAAATGGAGCAAAAGGGTAGAATTCCGTTTCGACTTGTGGTTCTTTAAGGCACGAAATTATAGAATGAGCATGAATATTCATGGAATTGAAGGCATACGTAAAAACTAGAAAAAAAGGCTTTTAAATGGCTCAAAAGATTTGCATTGAAAATTGTTTTTTTTTCCAAAACAAGCAAAATAAAAAGGGTTAACACGAATTTAAAACCAGTATATCGTTGTATGCAAGACGGTACTGTTTGAATCCCTTGCATGACATTATTCATCTGTGCCAAATGGATTTATCTGCGCTAAATATAGGAAATTCACGTCTCTGAGGTGCACTCAGCTGTGTAAGCACGAATCTGTGCAAAAAAATTTAAAAATTTCTTGAAGGTAAAGCAGATGTCGATTTCCATCTTTCTTTGGACTTCTGCCAATAAACTCAACTATTTCGACAAAATTATCGTTGCAGTAAACTGCAGTACTTTTGCGCTGACCTTAATTGACTGCACTTCTCTTCTTTTATTAAGATCCCATTTGTAAAAATTATTTTATAGGGTTATTGGGCAACTTGCCAAGATCTCATTTTTCTATGGTTTTCACTACAATCTACGAGATTTGTGATGCCGTTGTAAGCAACTTCGGACCACGACGACTGAAAAAACCTAGGGATATAGCTGGGCAGGTGCAGAGGTTTTCTGATCTTTCATAGCTGTTCGCAGGGAAAATGTCACACCTTTCAGGTTGTCCTCATTACCGGTGCTGCTAATGGACTTGGACGTCAGATAGCCGTAAAATTTGCTACGAAGGGTTGCAGATTAGTGCTCTGGGATATCGATGAAGAGGGCAACGAGGAAACGAGGAAAATCTGCAAAGAAATTGGAGCAGAGGTAAGAAGTTGAGAAAAATAATGCCAAAATATAAATCTTTACCTTGAACCTTTGATGAGAGTGCCCTTTCCCTAAAAATGAATCGCGAAAACCTTCAAAAGTGGTCTACATGAGTTATAAAAATGTGCATTGACTCTTTTTCACTTCTAAATAGGGATAAGGCGATGATTTTTGAAATTCCATAATACATAACCTTAAAATTTTTTTTGAGGGGCAATTTTAAGTCAGCTCGCGAAAAGGAAGCGCCCAAAATGTTTTTGAAGGGCGTGATCAGAGCCACGCTCGTTGTGAGAAATTTTGTCTCGACCGCCTCTAGATGATGGGTAAATTGCAAAAGCGGTCCTAGTTTTTCCCTGAGAGAGGGGAGAGTGACGGAAGAATTTTTTCGGAATGAAGGGAGACAATCTTCCCCCCCCCCCCCCTTCTCCCCCAAATTTTACAAAGTTAATTCGAATTTTCTTGAGAATCAAAGTATCTTACACATGAATAAAAGCGAGTCACTTTCGTGATTTTATAACCCATAGGGCTTTTCAATGGGCGACTCTCCCCGGCCCTCTTTGGTTCACCACTAAGGAATTGAAGCTTATGTATGCATGATTTTTACCACATATCCGAATCATTCGTAACTTAATATCGTATTGCACACCATGCGCGCTACATGACGACATGTAAGATTAAATCTGCACATTTTCAATTTCACCTTATTTTATTGTCGCTTTTGATTTGATTGGATTTGTGTTAGTTAGTAGTACACATTTCCATAGCTTTACACTAGAAAAAAAACTTTGAGGAGCTACCAGTTAGGAAGCCGTCGATTGCCGTGTATAGTGTGCAGACTCACATGTCATGTTACATATGACTCCAGTACTTTTAAAAGATGTGGAATATGTATTCAGGCTCACAGTTATCGCGTAGACATGTCCGATCGGCAATCAATCTACCAGTTTGCATCCACCGTAACCTCCGATGTTGGCCCTGTTGATATACTTATCAACAATGCTGGTCTACTACGAGATGGTGGAGACTTTCTGGACAAATGTGATGAATTTATCGAAAAAACTGTACGAATAAATATGCTGGCTCATATTTGGGTAAGATCCTTTAATTCCCGAAGATTCCTGAGCAGATGAAGCAGTCGGTTTTTAGATGGCAAAAGCTTTTCTACCGCAAATGATTGAACGGAACGTTGGACATATAGTATGCATTTGTTCACTTGGAGGGATTGTTGGAGCTAAAGGTACGCTTCCAGCATCGTAAAAAAAGAATCAAGAAAATTTTTGCATTTTGTGGCAAAGAAGAAATCAGACAATTTACCGGAACTTCCACAGGACAAGCAAAGTTTGCAGCGGTTCCGCAGGATTTGTCTACTGTTGCAAAAGGGGAAGCGTTAAAAAGGGAACTTCCGCAGAACCTTTTACAAAGGCTGCGGAAATTGCGGAAAAATGCCAGTGGTTCCCAGGACTTTGGTATGCCAGTACTTCCGCAGGGTTTTGAATGTATTGTCTCGTATGATATTGCCTCGCCAACACCATGCATTATCGAACTTCTCAGCCGTAGTGCAGAGGACAGTAGATGAAACTCACAGTCAATAGAGTAAGGTCCAAATCTCGCTTAGGTATTCTCTTTTGCCTTTGTGATTCGCATTCCTCGGAACTTCCCCAGCACCCCATTTGGAAACTTCGCAACACGTTTACGGAAATTCCGCAGGTGACCCGGCGGAAGTTTCCCAAATGTTTGCGGAAGTCCCGGTCACTTGTCTGAGAACTTGTTGCGCTGTTCAGGACCGTGCATACTTCACGCGATTTCAGTCGCGACGCGAATTGGCAATTCGCCAGAATTTTTCGGATCCAACATTAGCAAATTGCACATGCATAAGATGTATAACTTACGTAAAATGATGAAATGTCCTATCTTCAGTGCATATAGTGTGCTTAAAATGAGTTATGGACACTTGGCATATTGCCAAATCGCGTCGCAATTGAAATCGCTTGAAGTATGCCCGGCCCTTTAGGCAATGAGCAGTTTGAGAATCATTCTGAATTACAAGTAGATGATGACTAATACAAAGAAAAAGTCGAGAAAAAATAGAACATTTACGCAGATTTTCAAAAATTAGCAAATTGCAGATATCATCGACTACTCAGCGTCAAAATTCGGCGCATTTGGATTCCAGGTTTGTGATTATGCTATTTTTCCAAATTCGTTTTGTCCTCAAAACTGACATTTGTGAAAATTGTAGCCTATCTTGATCACTCAATTATTCAGGAAGCCTTAGAAAATGAGATGTTTCATCGCGGCCATAACATTAATTTCACAACCGTTTGTCCATCATATATCCGTACGAATATGTGCAATAATATTCCGTGAGTTTCTAAGATTTAATCTATCTCCATCGTAGTTATAGCAGCATTTTAGGCTTTCCCGAAGAACAGAATTTATGTCACCTCAGTACGTCGCCGAAGAAGTTGTATACGCAATTCTCACAAGCAAGAGGATTTTGCTGCTGCCTAAATCAACATACTTTCTTTACGCACTGAAGGGGTACGTATATGGATGTTCGAATCCAAAGAATTACTGCTGAACTAGGAGTAGTTAGATAGAACGATAGGAATAAATCTTTCAAAATTTTAATTTACAACCACCATTCCATTTTTTCATGACAAAGCCAGAGTCCAACTACAATGGCTTTGAGTTGTAAGTCCGCAATTATTCCTGAAAGGATCGTTAAATTTTCAGAACTGTTACTCCCTTTTCCCCTCTCCCCCCCCCCCACCTTCAGTAAATAAATTCTCGGACTGCCACCGGTGGTTTGTTTGGTGGCCTTGACTGAGCTGAGCTGCCCAAGCTGCATCTCATATAATTTATTCGTGATCGAGCAATTCAGTTCTAAACTCTAGCCCAGCATCGTACGAGGGCGCTGATTGGTTCGCTTGAATACGATACTGGGCAAGAGGAAAAAGTTTGGGGGTGAGTTTATCAACTGCGAATGAATCATATGAGCTGCATCTTGGCCAGCAGCTTGATTGAGTTCCCTCAATCTGTTTCCTAAGTAATCAGAGAGAAGTAAGGAGCACAAGTTAAGAATTTTTTTTGTAACTGTCACAACCATTCATAGTCATTAGTTGCACTGTTTAGTGCTAAAGAAATAATGTACTTTTTTATGCAAATTGTTTCAGACTGATTCCACGACGAACATTCCAACGACTGCTGCTTTTTGCGCAAAAATCACACGAGATCAGTTTACGTAACAGATAATTGTCTGAGAGCTGAATAAATACTTACTAAACTAAAATCGCTTAAATACACAAAACACACAAAAACTGCTATTTCCAGACGTGTAACGAAAGGCAGCGAGTGAAAACCGGAAGCATGTCCAAAAATTTCATATATGGTCGCGATCCATGTTTGCTCTATCTCTTATCTCAAGAATTTTGGCATATTTAAAGTTATCGAAATGCGCATTAGAGTTCCATGGACTTCAGGGAAAAGGAGTACTGTATTGCAGAATAGGCCAAAGCGAAACGCAAAAATGTGTTGGGTACAAGGGTTTACCCGTTTTCGAAGTTCGTTTTCAAACATTGCGACTGCGATAAATTGTTACAATCTACAAATCTTTGGTACTTCTACACACACTCAAAAATTTGCAGCAATAACGCGAAACACTTTCCAGGAAATTGGCCAAATGTCTCCTCGCAGAAACCTCGGAGAAACCATAACACGGGTTGAAATTCATTTTGTATACTATAGACGACCAACAATACTGCTAACCTTGGATTTCTTGGAGCTTTTTCAAAAAAAAATTTCTCAGTTTGAAGACCACCTATTTTGCTCTCTCTAAGGTGGAGAAAATGAACTTTTTTGAGTTATTTTTTTCTTCGATGACAAACGAGAAAATCTTTTCATTTCCCTAAAAATAAATGTTCTAATCCTAATCTCACTTTATAGCGTAAAACTTCCGCGATCGCAGTGCACTTATAATTTTTATACGACTCACAGCAACATGCCATGTTTATCTATAAAATTATAGGGTTCAGAATGTTTCTAAAATCGTATCTAAAGAACCAGTTCGTAGGGCGAGTCCTTAGCAAACGTTAATTAACGTTAACGTTCATTCATTCTCTGACCAAAGACACGAGCACGCTTTGCGTACATTTGATTAACATGTCCCTGAGTTCATTCTAACGCGTTTTGCATGATTTACTATAATGAATTTGTGGAAGAACATGTTCGACCTCGTTGAATAACGCAATAAACATGTTCTTTCACAACTTCCTGACAGCAGTTTTCCAAAACGCGTTAATACGCACTCATAAACTTTTTAGTCAGATACGTAAAGATGCCCCTCTCTCTTAGTAAGAGAATGAATGATACGATTTTGGAGGGGAATTTGCTTCTTGGGTGTAGATATCTGGCAATAGAGCAACGAAGAGTTTCACTTTGTTTTGCTGTCCTTACAAAGACGGAACCAAAGATGAAAATGTTAATGTGAACCGAAAGCCATGGAAATCAAGAAAAAAGAACTTTCAAATGGTATAAGCGATATCCATAAATTATAGTTTCTTTCTTCAAAAGCAGCAGCGTGAAAAGAGGTACAAAAGAAGGCAGATCTGAAAAGAAAAGGATTTCAATGCAGTTGTAATGTATATACTTTTTGAGTTAATAGTATTCCAGTTCAGAGGGAGAATGCTGCAAAAAACACAAAAACACTTTTGTAAAAGAAAAACTTCGCATGGTCAAGTTCATTCTTTCAAGTACAATAGCCACATTCTGGTCATGTTTGATGTGAGCATAGCATCTTCTAGTAAAGCAGAGAGCAATGGTTTGCTAATTTCAGTCAAACATTGTAATCCTGCTCGAGTGTCTGGCCGTTTTTGTGCCACTCTACTATTCTCTTGTAGCAGCTAGATGGCTCAATACTTCTTCTAGTGAGTCAAACTTCTTCTAGTTAGTTCTAGTGACTTTAGAAGTATTTATTCTATTATGTTTAGAGGCAATCCGTGTGTTGTCCGCATCATCATCATCGAAAAAGCTCAATCATGTGAGCATCAAAAAGATTGCAATTGATCATGCTGGCTCAATCTCTTCACTGGACTCTGCTCAAATTGAGAGAAACATCGAGCGCCTAAAGGTTGCAGTTTGTCCCTGAAAAAAACTTGACAATGGTCTTATGATAATTTAGCACGAAATCGGTGATTCAACGCTGCAAAATCCAAGTCGCAACACATCGGCGACCGTCATGTAGAAAAGGAAAGATCTTTAAAATACAATGTGCAAATGGGCGAAATAAAGGATTTCGAAAAGCGTGACATATGAATGTAGCTACCAGATCTTGATTTGGTGAAAGAAAAGAGTCTGCGAGAAAACTGTGCAAGCTTCTCACAAGGAAAGGAAGGTTGGTCAAAGTGGCCTTTTGAAATGAGATGTATACCACCTTGTAGAGCTTGGAACGCTGATTTCAAATCTACCTTTGCTATCTGTTGCGGGCATCTGGGCGAGGAGTTACACAGGTTTTTGTGAGTAAAAATCTGAATGCAAGAGCAGGCTAAAAGCAGTCATACAATTTTTTATAAGGCTTAATTGGTAGTCGGGTCACTCGGTGCAATTCTTGATTCAAATGTACCAGTTCGCTGCTGCCTCATTTTAACACTGGGAAAAGGTTACGACTGATTTTACCTTATTTTTGCATTCAGATTTTTACTCACAAAAACCTTCATAACTCCTCGCCCAGAAGCCCGCAGCAGATAGCAAAGGTAGATTTGGCATCAGCGTTTCAAGCTCTACAAGCCGTTATACACCTCATTTCAAAAGGCCACTTCGACCAACCTTCCTTCCCTTGTCAGATAACACAAAAGAAGCTCCGGAGCAAACTAAGCGTTTAGAACTTCCGGAGCAGACGCTGCTATTGGTTCAAAGGCCACACGGCCCATGCCACACGGACCAATAGCAGCGTCGTCACCGGACATTCTAAAATCTTACTTTGCTCCGGAGCTTTGCGATTGTCTGAGTCGAGTTCATTGAAGCGGCAGTCTGCTATCGCTTTGATAATAACTGGAGTGCAAGGACGAGAACATAGTTTTGCCTCCGATATACTATGGCGAAACCTATGTTTTGCCCTTTCGCAACGAACGAGCAGGGGGGGGGGGGGTGAAGGCATTAATAAACACCATAGCACAGAGTGAACGTGGAGATAGCGTCCTTGAAAAGGCGAAACTGCTCACAGGCACAATATTGACAAATGACCAAGAATAACGTATTAGCATAAAGGCAGTGGATCGGCAAAATCCAACAACTCACGATTTTAACGCGGTAGGTTCCTCACCGCCCACGTATGAAATCAGTGCAATCCCGGTTGCACAACATGCTTTCCCTGCCGAGAAAATTGCTCTCAAACTTATACGCGCAGGCCAATCTTATCCGGACAAGTTGGCAATTTCCTTCTCACCATTGGAGGCTGCCCGCCGCAATGCTGTGACCATTGGGTTCTGCAACGATTTAACGTCATCAACCTTGCTGCACTCGTGCAATTCCAAAGGGAAGGGCATTGAGAAACGCTCATTTTCGGCCTTTCAAAGCTTTCAAAAGTGGGTTTTCGGGATCAGCGTATCGAATAACCCCAGATAAGCACAAATTTGACTAGGTTGAGATCCGTCGAGCCACTGCCTGTAAGGCAGTATCCTAAAGGAACGATGTCACAAGAAAGCCCGCAATCTGAGACTTGCAGGATACAAAGTGACAACACGTGGTAAAATCCCTGCAGAATTTCAAGGCACTTGCTCAGACAATCGCAAAAGAAGCTCCGGGGCAACAAACTGAGCTTTTAGAACTTCTGGAGCGGACGATGCTGTTGGTTCGTGTGGCAAAGATCACACGGCGCATGCCACACGGACCAATAGCAGCTCCGCTCCGGAAGTTTCAAAAGCTCAGTTTGCCCCGGAGTCTTTGCGATTGTCTGAGTGGAGATTAGCTAGATATATTTATTTATTTATTTCGTGCACATGTTGTGCGCTACAACAATCATTATGAGTGAGTGGTCAATTCAACAAAATGGTTAGTACCATGAATAATCACTGATACGTCTACCACATAGTATGAAACAACTGCATCAACAGGCAGCTTTCTTCTTCAAGGATCAGCCGTACAGTGTAGTAGCATTTACGCAAATATGCAGTAGTTGCACAACAGTCGGCCGAGTGTGCACCGGTGCGCCGGACACCGGAGGGTAAAGGATATTCGTCGACGACTGCCCCGTTTAGTGCATTTACACCACCGCAGGCGTGCCTCTTTGGAGCCTTTCCAGCTTGACAGTACGCTGCAGCGCGCCGGGACTTCTTAGCTCGCAGCAACACTGTCCTTTAGCCTCTTTTGTTGATTTAAGTATTTCACATCGTTTTTTCTTCTTAGTTTACGTATTTCAGTCAGTCATTCGTTTTCCCTTTTTCTTAGGTTCTCTCGATGTTCAAATGTCCTACGTTTCACTTTGATGAGTACTGAGAGGTAAGGAAAAAATTAGTTTAGAACACATTTCTTGAATTCCTCTCCCTTTTCACCCACCTAACATTCTTTTTCAAAACGTGAACATCTCCTCGGGTAAAGTTGGGTGAAAGGGTGTGCTTTGTCCATAAAACAGTGGTGGTATCATGGAGTTTCCTTAGATGAGGCCACTTTAATGTTTATTTCAACACTCCTACATGGTGTCCCTGATGTAGGAGTGTTGAAGTAATCAGTTCAGTGGTATATCCCAGGAAACATATCAAATCATTGTAAAACATTGAAGAAAATATGCAATCGCAATCATAGCTATGACATCCACCACTGCAACTACAAATAAGGTCATTCTTTTTTTCTATTTTGGTCGCGACGATGGTCTCACATAGACATAGAACGGTCGATTGCCTGAAATGAAAAATAAGAAGAAAAAACGATGCGAAATACTTAAATCAACAAAAGAGGCTAAAGGACAGTGTTGCTGCGAGCTATGAAGTCCCGGCGCGCTGCAGCGCACTGTCAAGCTGGAAAGGCCCCAACGAGGCACGCCTGCGGTGGTGTAAATGCAGTAAACGGGGCAGTCGTCGACGAATATCCTTTATGCCCGGAATCTTCGGACTGACAGGTATACGACTGAACCCTGTCGAAAAGGGCTTACCTAGACTACCTCTCTGGGCATTTAAAATCATAAGTAATGCCACTAACGTCACAGTGCAAGCTGACCGTAAAAAGGAAGGAAAACAAAAGCGCCAGTAAGTGGTAGAAATGCGTCTCAAGTCAAGGAAAATAATCTAATATCATTGCAAATCTTCTATTTCTAATAGATAAGTAGGTAATTTTTGAATTTGACCGTATCCAAGCACAGAACATCAACGGGAAGACGATTGATCAAACGAGATACACGGCTAGCAAACCAATTCTGAAGTAGTTGTTTGCGCCATCCCTTGCATCTGGAAACACAAACGTTTAGACTTAATCTCCTATTCTGGCAAGGACGAATGTCCAAAAGTCCGAGAATTTTGAACGTACTTCCTGCTTTAAAATTTTGTGAGCTAAAAGGATGTCAGCTAGAATACGTCTGTGGTATAAGGTTCGGAGACCAAGACTAGCCAGCCTATGTTTATAGGGAGAACTTTGGGATACTCCTTGTTCGGGAATATGCGATAGTATAATATTCGAGTGAACATACGTCGCACTTTTTCAAGCTTGATAATATCTTTTTTCAAAGTAGGATTCCAGATAGGACTACAATATTCCACAATGGGTGAAATGCATGTTTTGTACAATCTTACCCAGACTGTTTTGTCTGAATGCACATTCCCAAACAAGGAGTAAAATGGCACGCGTAGCCTTTGCAACTATGTTATCAATCTGAGCTGAGTTTCTATAAGAAGATTATCACACCTACATAACGACATTTCTGCTGAACTTTCAAAGGAAGTCCATAGTCAAATCCAATAGTATCTTACCAACTTCAATATCTGGCTTGTCGATAGATTAATTTGCAATCCTCAACTCTCACACCATCTCAGCATTTCATGCACCGATAACCTCAATTTATCAACTATTTCGCGTTCATCTGCGTTATAAACCGCGTAGATCTTTAGATCATCCGCATACGCTGCAACACTGATCCGAGCATCAGTTTTCAGAAGTTTTGGAAGTTCCATTATGTATATGTCAAAGTGATGGAGACAATGCACTTCCCTACGGCACACCCGAGGGCGAAAAGCTTCCTGAGGAGCATTGGCCTTGGAACATGACCGAAAACCTCCGATTCAAAAGATACAATTCAAACCATGCCAAAAGGTTGCCCCTAATTCCAATACTTTCGAGTTTAACCAAGAGATTCGAATGATTTACAGAACTTTTTTTCGTGAAACAGCATCGCCCTTGCCGCGAAATGTAAATGATCTTTACCGCCCTCCTTCTATTTAACTTGGGGAAATGAACAGATCGATAAGCGTTCGTTTTGCTACATGTAAGTAAACAAATCAATAAATCGATGGAAGGACCCAGCGAATTGTCGCGAAAAGTAACCTATCTTCTGCGCCGTGGCTTGTTTATAAGGGAACGAATTTCGGCCTCTTCGGTTCACATACAAAGGAGTGTATAAGCCATAAACATCCTAACAAACAAAGTTACAGTGTTCGAATTTATATATATGTATATATATACATATATAATAGATATAGACATAGATATATACAGGATTGCGTCTGAACAATCGCTTACTCATAGCGAATAAAACAAATAAATGCGTGACCATAACTCGATATCAGGTAAAAGACATAATATATGGAAGGATTACATGCTGAAACTGCGGATGCACTAAACAACTGAGGTCAAATAAATGAGCAGATCTCGCAGGCGGGAAGCGCTAGAACGGAAAAGCGCCTCATGCCTTTGAGGCGTGAGGAGCTTTTCCGTGCCTGAGGCTGCCTGAGGCAAAAATAGAAATGGTACATGACAATTACGCAGGACTCTTACGCTGTCGCGACAGTTAGCAAGAAAAACATGATATACATGGCGATCAAGAGAGCGTTATTGGGAAGGAACGCAGATAGAAACGGACGCGATCAGACAGATGTGAGATCAACATAACTGGCGAAGGCTTCGGCAGTCCTCCATCTTCCTGCCCGCATAACATTCGACGGATGGGCTTCTGCTCATATGGCTGCTATAGCGGCGCCTCCTCTGAAGGAATGCGACGTGAGTTGGCGATGCTGCAGGTTGGCTTCTCGAAGGAATTTTGCGAGTCTGCGGTTAATAGCGTTTCTTGAAGTGGGCCATCTGGTTTTCTGCTAAAAAGAAAGTGAGCC